ACACACACACACACACACACACACACACACAAAACACAGTATTTGAAACCAAAATCTTACCCTTAAGTCTTCCCAGATGTTCCTAAATCAGTTTCTGTGTCATGATGTCGCACTCTACTGAGATTCAGCTAAATTTAGGTTTTGATGTGTTTAGAAAAAAATATTTTTGCCTTGATGACATAACATGTTTTAGATATTCTTGTGATACGTGGATTTTAATGAACGATGGTGCTCTTCTCTCGGGCCAGTTAAAGAAACACACACACAGACTCCAAACAGCTGGGTAAATCTTGATCCCTGTCTGTTGTCACCATGACAGGGGGCTGTGGGCCCAGTGAGGTGCTCCACCAGGGGGCAGAGGCCACTCGCCACCCCCGGAGTGATTGGCCAAACCAGAATTGAATCACAACCAGTCTCTGTTGCCACTTTGAATTAATCCACAGTAATATAATCCACAGTTGAACCAGGCTGGGCTCCATTTATCTTTTAATTTTTTCTTGCGTAAAACTAATTAGTAGGTTATTTGCACTCTAAATAAAGTTGCCTCTCTGTCCCTTCCCCCCTGTGGCCCAACCTGCAGTGATAAAAGACACAACTAATCATCCTAGAGGTGACACCTGATATTGAAAGTGGGAATTTACTTGGTGGGGGGTGGGGTGGGGGGGTGAAAACATGCTTAAAGTATTTACCCACACCTCACCTCAGACCCCCACCATCTTGGCATGTAGCTGAGGCTTGGCCGTCTGAACCAGCATGAGTCCTCACACTTCAACAGGTGTGGGGAGAAGAGAGAGGGAAAGGGAGTGAATGATGAAAAGAAAAGGAGGAGAAAAAAATAAAGCAGTCGGAGCACCTGTTTTAGACTCCCATGCCTTCCTCTGGCGGGCCAGGGCTTGCACTGCCCTGCCCAACACAACACATTCATGTCTCGCTGCCTGATCAGCTATGTGAAGCAGAGCTGGGGTCAATTTTCAAGGGTTGGAGATAAACTGAAATGAGGGAAAAAGGTCAAGAGGGAGCAATAATTATGGTCAGTAATTACTGATGGTTAGAAGGTGGTGATTCAAAAGCACATGCGTACGTGGGTGAGTGATGCAAATAGGGAGCAGGAACCTTTACTGCCACGGAGATGTTATTTTAACTTCAGATAAGGATTTGACAGCTCCGAAAATATTTGACGATCAGCAGTTTGAGATTTCAAAGAAACTGTAAAGACTGAAAGACGCTAAATCATTTGTGTCCATCCTGCAGGTGTGTTTGTCAAGAAACCGTTTTTTTTTATTGTGATTGTCACAATAGACTTGAAGATAATTGCATTTACAGTGACATTTACACTGTCAACTTTTTAAAACCAATATTTTAAAACTTGTCCAGGTCTACAAATGTTACATCTACCTCACTGTGTATTAAAGAACCAGGCCTGACATGCAGAGTTCCACTCATTATTGGTACATCTTTTAAATCACCCTTTTTAAAAATGCATCACATTAGTCAGGGTACTTTAAGTGTGTTTAGGATTTTGTGGCATCTGGCTGTGAAGTTGCATATTGCAACAAGCAAAATACTCCACATCTCATCGCTCTCTTTCAAAGCACGAATAAGAACCCATGATGGCTTTCAGGGAACAATTACATGAAATGACCTCTTCAGAGCTGGTATTTAGTTTGTTCGTTCTGGGCTACTGTAGAAAAATGGCGGTGCAAAATGATGGACTCCGTGGAAGACGACCCGCTGCAGATAAGATAAGTTCATTCTAAGATAACGATAACACAATGATTCTTAGTTCTGCGAATGGAAACATCATTCTGAATATTATATTACATTTCTGCCAATGTGAATCTTACACACTGGGCCTTTGAAGGTTAAATCTTTTTCCGTTAACGCTTTCTGTTATTTTGTTTATTCAAGGTGCAGAAATGGGAGAAGTCACAGGTGCCGGTTTAAGTATTTCAGAGTTATTCCAACATTATTCTCAACACCCACAACAAACACAGCCTGGTCATCTGATCTGACCACCACGGTGAAGAATATCAGACGTCTGGAGGATCCCTCTGCCTCTTCTCAGCACCCCCACTTCTCTCACACACACACACACACACACACACTAACAGCATGCCCACTGAGCTCACTGAGGCTCATTAACCTCCTGGTGGTGGGGGTGGGGGTCAGGGGCATCAAAGTGGCAGGATCACTGCAGACTCACCCAGCAATCCTACCATGGGGGTCTGGAGCCGCAGTGTCTTACCCCCTAATGAGAGGCCATGACATGCACACATCCACACACAGTTTGACCCCTCAGGACCAGCTGGAAAAGAGAGTCTGACATGCCTGTAGCAACTCTCCTCCCCCCTCCTTCCCCCTCCTCTCCACCATTCCTCTCCCAAACCCAACACATTCCAGCCTGTGAGCGGCGGCTCGCAGTCACCACTGACTCGCTCATGTCTCACCCAGCAAATTTACCTCAATGCAACAGGGAGAACCTGAGGGAGAGAGGGAGGGAGGGGGAGAGATGGAGGGTCAAGAGAAAGTCAGGAACACAACAAATGATTTAACATAGAGCTGGAAATAACAATTATATTCAATATCAATCTATCTGCCAATTGTTTTCTCAATCAACTGCAGTTGCCTGGTCTCAAATATGAGAGAATAATGAAACAAAAGGTCTCCTGTCTGTCTTCAAATGCTTGTTTGCTCATCTGACCAACAACAAAAGCAAAAATGATAAATTTACTGTCACGTAAGAATAAGAGAAGGTGCAAATCCTCAAAACTGAGAATGAGGGACCCTCTGTTATTTTTGCCTGAAAATGTCCTAAATATTTAAAGGTGCTATGTGTAAGTCTTGGTATTGACTTACACATCCAGCCTCGACCAAGCCGGGCTCATCGCTTTTTGAAAGCGAGTAGCAGTTTTGTCCGGTGTGTCTCCACAAAGTATTGCTATTCAGAAAGCAATGCAACAATGACTATAGCTCCTGGCGAATAACTATCACCATCCTGACTCAGAGAAAACACATGCACAGGCAGTACATATGATAAAATGAAATCATGACAGAGAACACAAACACACTCAAAAGGCATGTGGGAGGGGGTGAGTCAGGAGAGAGAGAATGAAGGAAGGGAGGGAGCGAGCTTTGGAATAGTTTTCTGCCAGCAAGGCAAGTGCAACAGGGGCGGCGGGGTGAGGGAGGGGTGCAGGGTCGAGGGAAGAGGCACCTTGCAACAGCTGGTCTCAATTATCCGTGGAGGGGCTGCTGAGCATACAGAAGCATACGTGTGTGTGTGTGTGTGTGTGTGTGTGTCAGGTTGAGGCATCGCAGGGGGAGGGCTGAGACCACTGGCGCCAGGAGGGGAGCAACAGGTCAGGGAGGATGAAGATTATAAAAATACTAGCAGGCAGTTGGCCTTGGTTCTGCACATGAGTGTGTGTAGTGGATATTCCTCTCCTGCCACACTGCCACAGGATGTGAATGTGAATGTGTGTGTGTGTGTGTGTGTGTGTGTGTGTGTGTACGCCCATAGTGTATCAGGGCAGTGTGTTTCTGCATACATCCTGTTGGACCATCTTCCTAGTCATCAAACTTGCCTTGACAAATGAATTTGATGGTTGAATGATGACACGATTCTCATGTAAAGTAGAAGGTTCATGTTATAACTAATGTATTCTTTGTATTCTGTATCCTCATTGAAAGGGACATATTGGACAATAAACGGATCAATTCTTATTGATTTGTTATATTGGGCTATATCATCGACACATTGGTGCAGAGACATATTACTTAAAAAGGATATTTCAGGAAGGAACATGAAGCATCAGATACCCGTCACATGATTTAATCTGCTGATTATGAAAATCCTATTGAGGCCAATATTTTATACAGAATATTACAAAATAATGAATCATAAGACCCAGGGCCCCCACTGGCTTAAGAGCCAATAGATCATTCATGCAATAGTTCATCATTAGGCATTACTTTAAATTACTGTAGATCAAATGTGACTTGATGTGACTTGTTGTGAAGGGGGCTCAGCAGCTGCTTCAGGATCTGGACCACAGCAATAATAGAACATATGAAGTAGCTTATTGGGACAAATGGGTGCATACCGCCCCCTAGCGCTCAACTGGTCTTCTTACATGAAGACGCATGACATTTAAAAACTGCAAATCCTGTTGCATTTGATTCGTATTTACCAACTTCATACAGATTTGTGCATTTCTTCACTCCTTGGATTCTGTATTTGTATATTTGATGTATTTATTTAAATATGACTTTTTTATATTCTAATATACCAGTTAATGTTTGTTTGAATTTTTAAGCTATAGTTTTTCACAAACCTGGAGGGAGGCTTCATCATTTATATTCAGACATTGTAATTTGACAGTTTCCTATTCATGTTTTTATATAGTAATAAAGCACTTTCAGTGTCAGGAGGGACAACTAATGTTTTATAAATACTGCAATGTCCAGGGGAAACCTGATTTTCCAATATGGGTGTTAGAAAATAACTAAAATCGCCACCTGGTGGTTGTATATGGTCACTAATGCCACTATACCACAATGGAGTTCATCCTTTGACTATCGGCAAAACAATGTCACACAAGTGAAAGAAAGTGAAAAGAGAGTTTTATTTTCAAACTTTTCTTCAACTCTCATCGTATCACTGCAAACCCTTTAAAACATTTCCCTTCACACTCTATCAAAATATATGTTTTCAAACAATCCAGCACAAATCCCATTTTAAATGTTGCACATATTAGTGAGGTGGAGACAACCAGCAGTGCAACTTACTGTAAGAACAATAAATAAAAGGATTGCACAACACACTCTACCCCCCCAAGAAAAAGACAATAAATATATTGAAAGTAAGATCAAATCAAAACTGCAAATAATCCCTCAAGTAAAACCAAACGCTCAGTGTAAAGCTCAGAAACAGTTAGTCTTTGTATATTGAGACTTTTGGAGCTTGATATGAAGAAAACATGCATATCTGAAAGTTACATAACCCAATTCCCTGTAACACACAAGCTGTATATGCTGTTAAAACACACTGTTCATCTCCTGTTTCAGAGCGAAACATTTTTACTGCCCGTGATTGATTGCTCATAATTCGAAAACATGATAGGCTTCTGCTTAGCACAGGGTATAAAAACAAATCATCTTAAAAACTCGACACTTGTAGCCTGAAATAAGTCCAAAATAAAAGCCTGAATCCAATGAGAAAACAAAAGCTAGGTTGTGCTTATAATATTGAGGAAGGGTCTTTTTTTTTGAAACCCTGAGAATAGTACCTGAGCTTTATTTCCTCCATTGCTTGTAAAAAAAACTGCTTAGTTTCCAACTTTGCTATCCTCATCAACCCACTCACCTAGTAGAGAAATACACTGTTCACTCAACACTGTCGCTGTCCTCTAATTTCTAAAAGGTGAGTTTTTTGCCTCTTTTCTGCCCACTCCCTTCAACACTGTTTACACTCGAGCCGCTGTCATTCGATGTGTGCCACCTTTTCAGAGGGGTCAGCTCCGGCGCTATGATGTCTCCGTCCTGTGTGTAAATAAAATATCAGAAATTGGTATTAACACGGACAGTTTAGTGTGTACACAGTGTCATTACTGACACAAGGGCTCTGTAACAGAACTCTTCTTTACCAGCCCGACAATGTAGGTGAACTATAGGAAGGTGATCTCTGGACACTGAATTACCAACCACAGCCACAAAAGACATGTAGCACCTCAGTGGAGCCATTTTACTGCATTTGTTGTCCTTTTTTTTTTTTTTTTATAGTATAGTCTAGATAGAACTCATTGTTACCAAACACTAATTATAATTTAAAAGGTGCCCTGCCCGTCCACAAAGATTTCCGTACCTGAGTTTTTTAGCCACTAGGAGGCAGTGGGAACAAGCTGTGAACACAACACAGACTCATCATCTCTGTGCCTTCATCCTCAGGTCTGAGCCCAACTCTGCCGATGTCTCTACTTTAAGAGACAGAATCGCAGGGCTCCTACTGTAAGCCACCTTTTGAAGAGGAGAACCTTTCCTCTGCAGTGGGCATTAGTGTGGTGGAGGACGATGGTGGTCCAGAGCCATATCACTGAGTATTTGGGGCATCACTGCGGCAGGAGGCCATTAATGTAAAGCAAACATTTAAAGAAGTTGTACATTTATGTAAATAGCATTAATATCTTTGTAGCTCTTGCGTAAAATAACAACAAATCAAAAACAACACACTGTCAACCCCCTAATACAGTCCTCTCGGTCCTAATAGGTGATTTCTGGCACTGTAGCCTCCCTTTGAGGATATGCTCGAATGAAACCAGGTCATAGTTTGGCTATAAACTCCATTTCTCCCACAATCAGCAGTCGGTGGGTTGTTAGTGACGTAAACTGCCTCCAGATACAGTATGTCACCTGCCTCCACATTTGCCAACAGCAAAATTCAATCACAATAGCCAGTTTTCAGCCAGTAGAGGGCAGTCACTATGACTTTTTACCACACAAAATGTGGATCTCAAAACGAAGCACTAAAATGTCAAGATTTGGCCCTGAATCAATCAACAACACTACCGAAACCTGTCACACCCTCCAGCATTTATCCTTTCTACCAGCCGTTGGACTGGTCTGATTACCGGGTTTGACCTCTTGCCAGTCATCTCCAAGTAACTCACTGCTGCCTGAACTTGTTTGTGTTTAATGATCTTGTGGATTAAAGCCTGTCCCCACAACTTTGTATCCACCTTGTATAGAGATCAAACTTGTGTGACAGGTAATGAGAAGAAAACTCTCATCAGAGGGGCATCTTTTAGGGGTGGGGGGGTCATACTGGGCAATGAGCTGGACCATCGAGCAATAGAAGAAAGTGGCCTCAATTTTTAATTGTCATGTTATACTCACAATACAGGGTCCAGCTCACTACACTGCTCCACAGAGCCATTTGTGCTCAACATTTATTACCTCCACCAAGGACGTTATGTTTTGTCTGCCTTTGTTTGTTAGTTTGCAGGATAATGCAAAAACAACACAACTGTTTTCCAGGCTATTTTATGGAGGGGTGGGGCATCACAGAGGAAAGACGCTATTGAATTTGGTGCAGATCAAAATAGAAATGTGGATCTTGTGACTGTATGTGTTTATTTATGTGGTTTCAAAAGAGGCTGCTGGTGCTTGACAGAAGTATGTTCACTTTGCTTAATGCCATTCTAGTTCCCTTTGTTTTCCATTCTCAAAAGCCTCTCCAGTCAAGGCAGGTACCCATCCTATGCTTATCAACCAACATGATTACACTACTCTTTACACTCGAGAAGATAAATGTTACCTTAGGCTTTGAGAAATTCCTATTCATGCACCACTGAACAAAGTGCTTCTTGGCGGCCTCCACACGCTTCTCATCTGTCTGTTTGAAGTAGACCCGGATCAGCTGCTCAGCAAAGTTCTCTGGAAGCATCTTTGACACCTGACATGAATGACAACAGTTTATTTTGAACTGTAAATTCAAAATACAGGAAGTGACAAAAATCATCCTTGGGTTTAGAAATATGAGACATGAGAAACCTTCAGCTATTTAAATGTGGAGGCAACTCATGTAAATAAAGATGAAGATGTCTGACCTGGTTCTTCCGTATCTGGACGGCTTTAGTTGTGTCATCTTTGCAATAGAATCGTACATCGTTGATGGGGTCCTTATCCTTCATCCCATAGTCCAGAGGAATGACCTAAAGGAGAGGTTTTGTGCAGTAGGCCACAAATCAACAAAACTAAAATTCACAACAATAACACAAATGTAATTCTTTCTTTTGGAGCAAATGAAATGTACGAGATAAAAAGTAGTTAGACTGAGAACTCACACTAACTATAAAGTCGTCCGGCTGCAGGTTGACATCCTGGGCGCCAGTCTGAGGGATGGACTTGGCCAATTCTTTTTCCCAGTCTTTAATCGCATCCTTACAGAGGAGAAGTGGATTCAGTCACGTCATTTTAACTTCGCAGTGAGATTTCATGAGATTTGAGCTTTGGATCAAAGTCGCATCATAACTTCACGTAATAATAAGAGAAGATAAGCTAAATACAACACTGTAACACAGAATGATATACGAGATACATATACAACCACATATGATTACATTTTTTTTGTTAAAATCACAATCTGCTTTCCAACATGCAAAAAAATTGAATTGATTCGTAATATTTTCGGATAAAAACAGTTTCATTTCATTTTTAATGAATAATTACTTCTTTAATGCTATAAAAACAAGGTGAAACATCGTGCTATGCTGGCTCCATCCTCCAATGGCTACTGCGTACACTCCATCTCTTAATGCAAACAATGGCAGCGTTTATATCGTGGGATATTTTGGCTTCATTTCTAGATAGTAGAAGGAAGTGGAAACGTGTCGTCCATCTTCATGCACAGTCTGAGGTCAAAACAAGCAACAGGGAGATCTTTTACATTATTTGTTGAACTAAATAATACTTGAACTAATAAGTTAAATTTAACTCAAAATCACCTCAGCATGCATGGTAGGAACAAATCAAATCATATCACTGCAGATGAAAAAAAAATAAGGCTATCAATATTACTTCTAATTTGTAAAAACTATAATTCAAGAGTCAAAATAATTATTCCAAAAGAAGAACACAAACACATACTGGGGTGACCTTCAGACTTTTGCTTGGCTGGGTTTGGCCCAGACACTTGTAGAGGCGCCGACAGACGATGTTGCGTAGAATCTGCCTCGGTTCAGCCAGCTCCTCCGAGGACGAGTGGAGTATTTGTTCAAACACATGGTCTAAGGGATAGAACAGAAATCCGTGATTATTTATCATTCATGTACACTCATCTGATTGGGTTTAGAACCCTAACCCTGTTTCTGGGGTTGGATGGTGGTAGACTCATAATAACAATGGGAGTAAAAAAATTCCAACACCGATGTATCAAATCAAAGTGGCAATATTTCCTGAGATGTAGTTGTCAAACCCTTATGACATAGAAATGTAATTGAAACTAGATATTTTACAGTTAAAACATAAACTTTACTATAAATGACTATGAATAAAAAGAAAACAAGTACAATGAAATATATAGAACTTGAATTAATTTAAGTTGTAGTTTTTTTTGTTAAAAAAAGTATGAGATAAAAGTTAAAATGTTTAAAATGTGAATCTCTCATTTTTTCTGCATTGTAAATAATAGCAATAAAAATAATAAGAATTACACGCTTAATAATAACAACAATTTTCTATGACAAATTGAATACCAGTCTTTTTCAGCATAGTTCCTTCTGTAAAGGTTTTCATATCAGCAGACATAAACACAGATACCCGTATGTCTGTTAAGGCCTCATATAGGCTGATTTCTTTTCGGCCAACTGATAAATCGGTCAAGCTCTAGCAAACAGTGGGACGGAGAATAATTAATATGAGATACAGTGATACCAGACACAATGTGTTTTATAGATGGCACAAATGTTCTTCAATCACGAGATAAACGGGCACACAGAGCTATCCACGGACCTGTCAGCTTGGTGTAGGCCTCCATGTCGTCTATGGCTGTGGAGAGAGTGAACATCCTCCCTCCTGAGCCTTGAATCTGGATGTATGGATCTGCTTTCAAAAAGGCCTCAGTGATCCTAAATTTAAAAAAAACAAATGATCACCTTTCAGAACGAATGCAGAGCGAAGCAAACAAGCTACGGCCGAGCAATGAGCTACTCACATGCTCTCTATGATGTTGCCAACCTTGTGCTGGTAGGCTCTTCTGTGGAGACAGTTCCTTGTGTGGAACATGTCATACAGATTGCCCACCTCCTGTTTAAAGAATCACTTGTGTTTTAGTTGCAGTTTAAACGTTTAACTGGACTGCTGTGTTTTAAAAAGCTGATCATGGGGAGACATAAGAGAGTTGTTACCTTGTCTCTGGTACAGATTTGCTTCTGCCCGTCCACCTCACACACCCTGGCGAACATAAGGCAGCGGTGATAATCAAAGTTGTTGTTGATGCCCAGGTGGTAGCAGTCCCTAAGATGAGCAACGTGAAGAAACGATCGGCCATTAAACTCACAAGAAAAGTAGGATTTATCAACATGTGATTTAGGAAACCTTGTTAAAACTAACAAGTCAATAAGACTCACCTGGCAAGGTAGTCCCACTTATCCACATCAATGCTATTTCTTTTGTTGGCCACAATTTCATAGAGAAAGGACTTGTCCTCTGGACGGCCTCTGTATGGCCACTAAGTCAGAAACAGAGACATTAGATTTATTAGGCAAGTATTTTTAAGAATTAAAAAGGAATTTAACTCTGGTTTCCAGAGCAGAGCAAAGTTATTACACGGTGCCAAGAAGTAATGTGGCATTTATAGCATGTGGATTTGTCCATATGTAGGTCAAATCTTTACTGTTAACTGCATGTGCAAGAGTGTGACAGTCCCAGGAACATTAGTGTTAATTTGCACATTTCTGCTTAGGTCTCCACCACATCAGGTTTTAAATCTGAGCATACCCCTCAGCTGCTGCCTGGATCCATCGTACAGGAACTCAATTTAATCTGTGGTTTCTCCAGTCAAAATGCAATTTTAGTTCCAGAGTTCCTTTGGTAAGGTTCCTACAGTATAATGCTACTATAATATCAATACAACTATCAACTAATCTCATATAGGCAGAACTAGCAGTTACCCCATTGGCATTAGCTCCATTAGTGCCTAATGGTCCAGCAATCTGCTCCTTGATAAACTCCAGGTCGTCAGGCAGCACCAGGCCGTGCTGCTCCATCACCGGCTTCAAGTTGTTGTCATTAACCAGGTAATCAAACATGGCTAAAGAGGCTTCCTCGTGCTGCAACACAAACAGACTAATTTATGAACATGGGAATGTACACAGTCACAACCTGAAAATGAAAGCAAACAGAAAGAGCTTATCTTAAAATATGACTAGAGGCAAACACAAGTGCTGATCCATCACGTTTGCCAGATGGCAGGTCTGTGGTCACAACTTAAATAATATTTATTAGCTATTAGTGTCTCTTATCAGTGATGCTTATCATTGTGACCACTGCAACCACTACCTTAGACCTCAACTGTCCTGCTTAGGAGTCAGGTGACACTAACTGCTTTGTATAGCAGTTTCGTTTTTACAGTTATTTAACCCTCTAATAGAAAATCATCTGTTTATCCCGATAATGTTTATTGCTGTAACGTCATCACATCTGCTAGTGCAGGGTTTAAAGTAATATTAAACTTTATGAGTTCAAGGTTCAGTGTGTAGAATTTAGTGGTGAGGTTGCATCTTGCAGTTGAATAGCCCTCCCCTGAAAGCTTCCAGAGTTTATTCGCCTTGCTCCTGAGGATTTGTTGTTGGTGTGAACGTGTCCTTGAACTAATTGTTTTGTTTGCCACTCATATGGCTGAGAAAGGATGAGAAAAGCAAAAATCACATTTTCTTACCTTCCAGGTAAAACCAGGACGTGCTTTGGGGATGAACTTCCCATCAAACATATGGGAAAATGGCCCATGTCCTGACAGGCATAACAAATACAGAAAAGGTGATTACGCTGCATTAAACTTTGCACTAAGATAATTATAGACAATTATAGATAATTAAGATATAAAGTTATATTCCCATCTGGATAATTGAGGATGACAAACATAGCTTCGCTTCCATTCTTACTCATGCACACACCCAGGATGTGCTCACTCACCCAGGTCGTGGCAGAGCCCAGCGATCTGCACGCAGAGGATGTCTCTGCGAGAGATGAGGAGATCTGGCTGCCGATCATTCAGAGCCTGTACAAGTTGTCCTGCCAAGTGACCAACTCTGTTCCCACACAAAACATTTCAATCAAAACAAGGAAGTGAACATACCGTGAACATACCACAAACATGACACATAAAGAATAACTATTTTACTATTTAATAACACTATGTTTCCAATATACGGCGGATCCAGCATTTCTTTGACATACATGATACTACATGAATCAGACACATTGATCATTTAACACGGTCTGTTACTGAGGACGCACCCGATGGAGTGTTCAAAGCGGTTGTGGGACGCTCCGGGGAAAACAAAGTAGGTCCCTCCGAGCTGCTTGAGGTATCGCAGTCTCTGGAACTGAGGTGTGTCAATGATTCGGATGAGAAGTGGGTGTAACTCCACATGCCCGTGGATGGGATCATTAAACACCTGGCAGGAGACAAGACACAAGAAAGACTTACTTCACCACTGAATCAATACTGTTACTCTACTTTTAACTTGCACAATTTTATAAATAACCTGTCTTTTTCCACACCAGTATGTGAAGAGGTTCTTCACCTGTGTAGCATTCACATGTTCTTTTACCTATCTTAACTGATGACTAATGACCGTATGCTTTTACATTCTTGTGCAAACATCCCGTCCCACTGTACTTTACTGAAACAGTTTTTTTCTGCAGGGAAAAGAATAATACTATGTACATATTCTGTATTCTTTATTTTTCTGTTGACTTCTCGTCACCTCATTCTGACTTGTCTGCTGCTCTAACAAGGGAATCCACGAAACTCTAGACTGCGTACCGCCGAGCTGTCTTCATGCTCTCCACTACGGAAAAAAAGTTTCATCGCATCGCAACCACATCTGTGATCAATATTTAATTAACATATTTAATTAACATATTCAATGTTATCAATAAGTCAAAACTGTATTCTATAGAGATATCAATAATTCAAAGTGTATTTCAAGATATCGACAATCTTGATTGAGTCTATTATTTTCTCATGAGATGTGCTCATTGGACAAGTCCTCAATTTGTGAAGAGAGAGAAAATGTTGCTCTGTGCTTGAAACAATCTTAAGAGAATCAAAACATTTACTATCCCCAGACGCAAACAACATTCCGACGGACATGATCCCGCAACGTCTCGTGATAGCAGCCCATGAGAATCTGTTATCCCAGGGGATCATGTACGGTTACACGTCAAAGGTCACAGTTACACTCACTCTGCGTCAGTTACAATTTAAATATCCAATCCTGCATTCTGGAGAGGACCAATTAAAATGATTTATTGTAAAATTGCAGTGGAACATATAGAAACAGACATTTGACTAAATGTATTACTGGATATCCAAAATGTAATTAAAAGGTTTCTCATTTTGGAAATCCAATATTCAATTCATGACTAGTAGGAGTTGGAATATAGATATCTGAATGGGACTGTTTGCTAACGTGAATTCTACAACAGATGTATACTCTACTACAGATATATATCCAGTTTTAACAATTAGAGCTCAACCGATTTATCAGTTGGCTTTCACATACATATCAGTATCTGCGTTTACCGATATGTTTGCATAAATACACCATCAATATGAAAACTTACATTTTATAGACTAGACAATGCAGAAAAGATCATTTTGCATTGGAAAATTTTATTCCAGTTATATTTAAATAGTTAAACTGTAAATATCAAGCCTCAAATAATACAATTTCTTTGTCATAAGGATATTTGTATATATATGTATCAGAAAAAAAACTGACATCATTTGTCGCAGGAAAAAATGGAGGAAGTGAATGACAGATGCATGTACAGTCCAGAGATAACACGTTAAAACTGTTTGCCATATGGGACACTGGACAACACAATTCCCCCCATACTGTGTAATTATTATAATAACTACAACTGTAAAGTAGGTTTTCTCTTAACTTCCTCTTTCTTCATCATGTGAGTATTTGTCTCGAGGACAAGTCTGACTTCACATGCAGGGCTCTGGAAACTAGTTTTCCTTCATTTCAAACCCCATGATGTTTTTCTGTTTGAAGAATTGGTCACCATTTAGTTAAATTATATTGGATTTGGCTGCAATACTGTTTACCCCTCCTTCGTCATACTGGTAAGTAGATTTGGGTGAAAGGGAACGATTGGCTGAAATTTTTGTAGAATTATCCTCATGATATTCAAATACTTTATATTTACATTGAGGGGGTCCTCTCTACGGAGGCCGCCATGTTTTTTGCATTAGTCCAGACTGAACAAACTAAACACCTTTTGAGTTTTTGACAACTGAAGCTACCACAGGTTGTTTTTCATGTTTGGAAGGAGAGGGTGGGGTGAGGGGTGTTCAGCAGAACAAACAGGACAGAGAGAGAGAGAGAGAAGTCTCCCTTGCTGTTTATTTCGACAGTGCAGTTGTTACCTTGCTTGAATCTCTCTCTATCTGCCCCAACCTCTTGACACTGTGCAGGATCTTCAGACGGTCACCGAGGAGCCTGGACAGGAGGAGGAGGAGGAGGAGGAGGAGGAGGAGGAGGAGACATCAGAGGGACCCACTGAGGAGGTGCAGCCATTCTATGACACTTCAAACATGGGTCACATTTATTATTAAATCCAACACACACTTACTTTACTCCAATCTTCTGCAGATCCGCATCTGTGAGGTCCCTCAGGCCCACACCAGTTATCTTTTGTTCTGGAAGATGAAGCAGACACACGAGTTGTTGGATCGGGTCACATGTGGTAAACAATCAGCTCAGCAACATGCAAACACATCATCTCCGCCACCACCGACCTCTGAACGTGTCCTCCCACTCCTGGAGACCCTCTCCCCGCAGGTACCGACACGTTTCCTCCACACCCCATCGCCTGTAGTCCGTGTAATCCGAGTCAGGCTGCCGGCCGACGGTCGCTCTCTTCTCCGGCGTATTGAAGCTTTCGCCGGGCAACGGAGCCAACGGTCGTTTTCGATTCTCCATGCAGATCCGAAGCGGCGCTTGCTCGGGTCGATGCAGCAGCAGGAAGCCGGTAACGTTGAGCCCCACGCCGCCTGACACAGCTGATCTCAGCTCACACAAGACTCTGAAAAATACCCGGGTTTTGTTATTTCACCGGCTGCGTCAAGATGGACCGAAACACCACCAGCACTTCCTGTCACTGATTTCAAAATAAAAGTCCACTGAACCAGAGGGGGACTCCATAACCTGAGAGTAAAACACCCTCCAGTTATAATCACAGACTTTAGAATAAATCATTTATCAGATCTTATCTTGACTTAAAACTGCTCTTTAATTTAATAGATCTACAGTTAATGATATCCAAGATGACTGCAGTACAGAAACAGTACAGAGCTCTAAATAATACGATTATATACTGTGTGTATATATACTTATTCAAAACGTGTTGTATGCATAGACTGTATATAAAGGTTGTATGTCATGGTTTAATTGGGAAATTTGTCCAATTCTTTGCTATATACAATAAACAGCAGTTCTTTCTCGAAATATATATTTTAGTGTTGGACATTGTGGTGTTGTGCAGTCTGATGATTGATTGCAAAAAGGAGCACCCAACAACAACTACTACTTCTGCTACTACTAATGGTAATAATCATTTTTAGAATAATGCTGTATAACTAGGTATAGTCTACTTTGTGCATATCAATATTTGATAGGATGTTATCCAATTTGCTACAGAAGCTGGTTTTGATTGAGATATCTCTTTTTTCAAAAGGCATTTTCATAAAATGTCTTTTAACATTAACCTTATGTGAAGCACTTTGTAGAAGTGTTTTTTGTAATGTGCTGTATAAATAAAGTACATTATTATTATCATTATTGTTGTTGTTGTTATAACCTTTGCCTCCAGCTAAAACACCGGAGAACGAACAGTATTTGTTGAATGGTATTAATTTCTAAGTGAAAACACTGATTTCCGGTGAGTAATTTAAATGTTATCGGCAGCTTGACGTGGTTCCCCTTTACGTCAGTTTCGAAGGGGCGGGGCTAGATTCAGTTGAGCGAGGGAAAGTTGAGCGTTGAAATCACGGATCGTGTCCGTGACGCTGCTGCGAGCTTCATCTGAAACTTACATAAGTCTGTTATAAATCACCTTCTGTCCAGCTGCACATCCTCTGTCCACATGCTCAGCAACACATGTGAGAAAACTAAGAGAATCACAGAAACCCTGGTAGGGTGCTGTTGACCATATTTAGGTTTTATTTGTTTCACAAACTATTGACTGCAAATAAAAGTGGACGAAGCGTCTCCACTTCCTGCCACTGTACAAAAATGAAGCCAAAAATAGCCCAGATTCTGGCGCTGCCATCTTGGATGACATCATAGGAGTCAGTGGAGCCACAATATCATGATCCCAACAAGCAATCATGAGCCAGGCTCAGCCACCCCCCAACACACACACACACACACTTTTGAAACATCAAATAACTTCTGGAAACAGTAAAACCAAAAGTATATCAGAAACATGAACAATTGATCAACTTCAAAAAACTGAAAAACAATTTAACGAAATATATTGTTGCTGTGCACTTTGACTTTTTAGTTCGGCCTATGTCTGACCTGGTTGCATGGAGAAGATGCATGCGTACTGCAGCCAGCCACTAGGGGGTGATCATGATGTTTTGGCTCCACTTTTGGGGCGCTGTCATGTATCATCCGTCGTTATGTCCGGTCCATGGTCAAAACTGGTTTACAGCAGGTTCCTGTGCTGCAGCAACAAAAGATCAATCATGTTACAATTCGAACAGACACGCAGCAATGATTGAAAACATCGGCAGCGACTCAGATGCTTCAGAAGAGGAGAGTTAGGTGAAGAGAGAAGACTGGTGTATGAGTGATTCTTACAGGTCGTGTTAAAACACTTATTGTTAATGTTTTAAAGATTTCCTATGGAATAACATAGAATTTCAGATGTATTAACTTGTGTGCACAATAATCAACTTGTGCATAAAAGAAAATTCAAGTTAATACTAGTTAATTAACTTGTGCATATTTAGTAAAAAAGCCAAACAGGAATTCCTTTCAACAACTCTCCATGATAATTAAAACTGGACACACCTATGACTCTAAAGACTTCAAGACACTGCAAGTTCTCCTGAGTGATCAGTCAAGCTCTTCTACATTTCAACTTCACAGAAACTAGATAAAGACACCAGTCGTAATGATGATGTGTTCTGATTCTGATTAAATATCATTCACTGACCGTGACGTCTTTCACATTCCCTTGCTCGGTGCTTTACAATCCTGAAGAGCAGGGTTTTTTTTTCCTCTGTGAGCTCTATGACCATGCTCTTATATCTAACCCCCTAACCACCCATTATCAATCATTTCTTCTACACACTGTCTGTAGTGTGATGAGTGGAACTTTACATGAAGAATAAGAACAGGGTCAGGCATTAGAAAAACAATGAGAGTAAATAAATTCCTTTTTTTAAATTTTGGGAATGAAGTGGAAATGTCAACAATAAAGTCAAACAAAATCAGAGCAAGATTTCTTTGTGGTTTCTTTGGGGGAATTAAGTCAAGATGTCAAGAATAAAATTTAGATAGAGAGAATAAAACTAAATGTTGAGAATAAAGAGGATATATTGAGAATAAAGTCAGAATGTTAAGAATGAATTCAAACTAAATCAGAGGAAGATAATATTTTTGTGTTTGGTGAATAAAGATGTCGACTGACAGGCTTGTGTGGTTTCTTCCACTGAACAGACAGTTTTCTTCTTTTCAAATTCTTATAACCGCGCTGTGTTTATGTGATAAGAGATAGTATTTTGTCACTAAAACTTCACCAGTTCTTATACACCAGTTATTTTGTAGATAGCTGTGATACTTACCAACATTAGAATTTAATAGATTCTGAAAGGTTTAAAAACATCTTCACTTTTAAACCTACTGCATCTACTATGAAGGGGACTTTGGACAACTACATCAAATGGCCACAAGGTGACACTATTTATCAATTATATACGGTTTGGTTGTCTTTACAGTGAGGTTTAAAGCAGGTGCTGTGTTCCACCATGTGCTCAACCAAGTACTGATTTATCTTTTCATGCTAAACCAGGAGGAAATGTCCAAATTCCAAGATAAACACAAAGAAGCACAGAAGTGTACAATCATATCACAGATGTTCTAAGTCGTCCGCCCTATTTAGGATTAGTATCTCGGAGAGGTCCATTGTAATGTTATCACTGGGAGCCGGAGGCTTTTCTAGAGTTTGTGATGTAAGTCGTAACAAATGTTGTGGTAAGTCTTCAGATAAAAGATAAATCTGTCTTTTAGTAGTTACTGCATGTCTGTTCTTTGGTGGTAAATAACAGCAGTGATACGCTTTTGGTTTTAATCAATAAAATAAGACTGAACTAATAACATTTAGATCAGACATAAGATACTTCAGCCCTATTCAAAACAAGGGCCTCGAGCAAATGTGAGGAAACGACTCTAGCTTTGTCATGTCAGAAGTTTTGTTTTCTGGTTTGAGGTCACAGATGGGGGTTTTCTGATCCTCTGTGCAGACTGATATCACCCTGTAGCTCTGCAGTTCCTGTAAACTCAGATAACATCAGACGCCTCTGCAACTGACATAGTGATCGGTATCATGACCAGTCTGGTTGATTTGCTTAGTGTCTTCATTGTGATAATAATTTATATCTAGGACAAGGTCTACAAATGCAAATATTTCTATATTTGTTACATTTCGTTTCTCTTGTTGTATTTGACTACTTCAAATTCAGCGATTCATAGTCACAGCGTGTGGGTAGCGAAGGATTCTCCATTGCAATGCTACTGTTCTCTGACGGCATGAGACCCAGTAAGCAGACAAAACACGGGCAAAGTCTGGCTGCTTTGTTCACTCAATGATACTTTTATCCACACGTGACAGAACAGAAAGAAAAGCCTCTTGGCCCACAAGGCCTGGCTGTGAAGCCCTTCCTCCTGGTTTGCATTAGTAATGATTGCAGATATTTGTAATACCTCCTCAGCCCTCAGGTCCTTGCAGCTTAAGAAAATTGTCAGTGTGATTGACAGGAAGCCCAGAATCAACCGTGATGCTTTATGCGGCTGTTACTCCACAGTTATCCTCCTCTGACTACTGAAGCCAAGTCTTTGTTTGTTTTCTTGAGCTCCTCAGAGAAGGAGAGCATTAGTGGGATCAAACATTTTATTGGTCAAGACTTTATATATATTTATAGTGGCAATCAACAATGCCACAGGGTGTCCCACACACAGCCAAACACTTTGCTTTTCAACATTTTATTATGTCTTTCATAGGTCAAAACATAAATTCTAAACTAAACTTACACTTGGCAGCAGTATTGGCTTTTCAGCCCCACTCTATGCAGTCTCTTTCAGCCTCTGCTCCTGTTCCTCCCGTGTTTGTGTGTCTGACTCTGGCAGCTCGGCTGCTGCCTTTTGAATCCAGGGAGAGTTGATTGGCCAACTAGTCTCAGCTGTGCATCACCTCTCCCTGAGCCACCTCCATGCTCACCCCCATCGCCAAATTTAGGCCAGGCAGCCATCCGGCCTGACCTACTCCCCCTACTGACCTACGGGCGCCGCTGCATGGAAGCTGTGGATGCAGGTCAAGAGGCATGGAACCAGGAACGGGACTCAACGACGTCTGCTACTGTATTTTTGGTCACATATATTTAGTTATTTTTATGTTCTTACCCGCTGTGTAGCTGAACAGATATAAATGGAAGCTGTTATGTAACTGGCCCTTGTGTAACTGACGGGAGATAATGACTGTTTTGAAATGTCACCATCGGACCTCCGCTCTGGACTTCCTCCACCAAATGAACAAAGTGCTTTTCTGCCATCAGTCAACCATTAAGAGTCATTAGACTATTGCAACAGGAAGAACTCTTAAAATGACTAAAACCATACAAATGTGTGGTATAAAGTAATCCCTGTGTTTATGGAAGCTATACTCGACTTCTCCACATCTTAACAAAACCGGCTAGTGAGTGTTGCTTTGTTGGATCTCTACAAAACGATGTTGAAAACGATGTGTCTCAGGCAGCAAGGACCACAGAGATTTAATGTTTGAAAGGATTTTCAAGAGGTTGGAGACTTTTGCCAATTCACTGAGGGAAATATAATCTTTAAATATGGCACAAGTTTTTTAAATCTTTACCGCTGATGCAGGGTTCTCTCCAATACACAGAGGAGAGGCCTGCATAACATTAGGAGTGTGTTTAGAGAGGTATTTAGTGAAAGCCGATATGGGAAACAAAAGGAAAAGTTTCATAGGAAGGAGTCACAGTCAATGCCCCATTACTCACTTATGTTCTAACACAGTTTTGCACAGTTGATATATTAAACCCTCACTTTGTATAAAATCTAAATGTAATGTTATGTTCATGAATTATTTCTCTGTAATCTCTGTAACGCTCGCAGCCAGAAAAGATAAAAGTAAACATATTGACATATATGATTCACATTTATTTATTTATTTTTTCAAAATGGAGAAAGAGCTAAACGATGTGAGCAAACAAAATGAACAGAGCCTTGTTCMCATAGTTATATGATAACATGTTTAAAATTGCACATATTTACTGCATATATCAGCTGTTTAAACGTCCACAACAGTGTTGTAGGTGTCACAGTTAAAACCAATATGATCCGCCTGCTATTCAAACTGTGCCTGTTGGTGCAAAGGAGAAAAACTGTGCACAGTGTAATACTGTGTGGTACAAATATACCCAATAACATGGTAAAACAGGAAGCACAGTACTTATATTGCTCATTTTAAACATCAGGTGTTATTTAGTGCTATTTGTTGGAGTACCAGAGCACATCTCTGATGTCTGCAAGCTTCAGTTGTGGCCTGTTTCGAAGGATGTTTGACAACCGTTCCTACTTTGACATGTTTACATACATTAGAAAACTTGATGGACCACACAATTATGTGTTGGACTGACTTTATGAATCATTTCACCATCAAATATTACGTGACAAACGGCTTAAAATCAGGCCGAGTTACCTTAGGCGATACCATGGACGTAGGTAAACTATGTGGTGAATGAACACAAGCAATTTGATTTATTTCATTTTCTTTTGCTGAGCAAACGAGGAAAAGCTGCAGCACAGACAGAGGTCAAAGTCGTTTATTAGCTGAGCGTATAAAGAAGCAGCTACGGCAGCTTCCATTTCTGACAGGCTGTGAAAGCAGCACAAGTTGTCCCAGTTTAAGGAGAGTGAACGATGAACAAAAGGATGTTTTACTGCACTTTTATCAAGTCAACAATAGGTTAAAATGTGCCACAAAACTGCAATCTGCAACTTAACGATGAAATGTGTTATTGTGTTTATGTCAATGCATGAGTTTACTATTCCATCAGTTTAATGTCTCTCTGGCATATCATACGCTTTCAACTGGAACATGCAAACTGTAAATATTCTATTTCCTTGGAAGAAAAAAATGGCAGTTAAATTGACGGTAAAATGTAATGATTGGTTTATTAAAACACTATAATATACTTGTGCACAGATATAAGTGTTTGTAAAATTCAATGATAACTCTATCCAGTCAACAATGAAGCCTGTTGTGTAAACAGATAATTTCTAACAATGTGTAAAACACAATTAATACAAGAGAAGTTATAATTGCTGACAAGTACTATACATCAAGAAATGTTTAAAATGTCCTTATATCTGCGTACAACTACATTTCAGTGAGTTAAAAACTAGTTATCGACTAGTTAAGTTGATGTGGTGTTATTTAGAAATATCACGAGTTTAGCAGGATTTACGCTCAATAGAGATGTCTGCATATCTTGCCACTATTAATAGACAATATTCAAGATGGCACTTGTCATCATTTCCAAAAGGCTCGGTGCCACAGCATCGAAACTCAGATGTTCAAGGCTCATCCGAACCAAAATCTGCAGCAAAATCTAAAAAGAGGATTTGTTGTGCAGGTGAGGTTAGAGTTCATTCAACAGAGCGTCTGTCCGTTCTGCCACACTCAGGTGCCATCTCTGTAATTTAGCAGGTGCAGGATCTCCTTTAAATGTCTTGCCAGTGTTTGTATTGCCACACAGTTAAACTGTGAAAGAATACGGTTGAATTCATCTTTCAATACAGAAAAATGTGCAGAGAAATGGTGCTTTGCATTGACAGTGCACAGGAGAGTTCACGTACTCAAGATGGCAGACGATGATTATCACAGGAAAGTGAACTGAAGAACAGGTGTCGTTGTCATGTCAGCATTTCCTTCTGTCCTTCTGTCCTTCTCCGACCCTGTCCGCCTCAGCCCTCAGCGGATCCAGGTCCTCCTCGGAGCTGTGCTGCGTCCCCCGGGAGAAAATCCTGCGACGTGACTGGGCGCTGAGATCCAGCAAGTCAAAGGAATCAGAAGAGAAGACGCTATCCTCGCTCACCACACTGGACGGGCGGCTACGCCTGCCCTCTGCGCCCCCTGTTGTACGGAGGAGCTGCTGCAGAACCTCGGGGAAGATCGCAGGGGCTGCAGAGGGAGAAGAGTGGTGATCGTCTGGGAGATCCAGACTGCGGGAAAACTTGCCATTACGTTTCAGAATACCCTTCCTTCTTCTTACTGCCTCTGTGCGCATGGTGGGACTGTCCCCTGCTGCTGGGAGACAACTGAGCTGTTTGTAAGAGCACAAATCACCGGCTTCACTCTCTTTAACTCCTGCTCCAGAGCCTCTTCTTCCTGAGGAGGAGACATAACTTGACTCCCCTCCATAAAAGTTTTTCAGTATCCCCTTCTTGGGCATTTTAGATGAGGGCTGGCTGAATGTTGATGGGGACGGCAAGCTGGTGGATAGGACGTCAGCATGTGTTTGATAAGGCTGAGGAGAAGGGCTGTATAGCTGGGAGGGAGAGTTTTTGTTAGGGGGACTGTGAAAGACTGAGTCAAAGCTCCTCTGGGGTTTCAGAATACTTTTGGGTTTCTTTCTTTCAATAGTGGAAGTGGAAGAAACCACAGCAGAGGGGGCAGCTGCTGCACAAACACCACCACATGCTCCCTGTGCAGTCTGGGGAATCGCATTCTCCTTGCGTGATTTCCTGAGGCTTGACATTCCCCCACGTGCCCGTCCTCCGCTACGATCACTCCTCAGAGTTAAGCTCAAGTAAAAGGGGTGGTGAGAGCACTGAGTTGCACAGGTGGAGTCTGAGGACAGGCACCCGGGGTCCACCGTCATGTTGCTGGCGGCAGCGACCTGATTCTGCCAGTCGATGTAGCGAGCCAGCAGAGGGGAGGGACATTCTTGATGCGGAGATGAAGGGCAGTCACACACACTCTCTTCATAACCCCAGTTCACCCACCAGTGGTTGGCCACGTCCTCTATCGTGGCTCTCTCATCCACGCGCACTGTCAACAACCAGTCGATAAGAGCGCAGGCGTCTGGGGGAACAGAGTCAACAGCTATTTACAGCAGCTGCACTGACTGACACATTGTAAATAACAGGATACCAGTAAGAACGACACACTCACCAAAAACATGGGACAAAAATGTGAATTTATAATGTTGATGGATATATGGATAAAGTTTACCTGAGGGGGGGTTGGGTCTGTGATAGCGACCTTGACTTATTTGCTCAGTGAGCATGGAGTGACTCGCTCCATCAAATGGCATGCTGCTGTACACAAGGGCGTAGAGCAGCACCCCGAGCGCCCAGCAGTCCACCTGGACCAAAAGAAAACCAGCATGAAGAATGCGCCATGCTGTTTTCACAATTCAGGCTTCAGTTTATACAACACAATGAGGTGATACACGATTATCTCCGCCAAGGAAGTTATGTTTTCACCCCAGTCCATTTGTCACCTTATTTATTGGTTATTTTTTTGTTGGTATGATTACACAAGTTACTCGACAGATTTCCATGAAACGTACTAGGAGGATGGGACATTGGAATTTTTCACTTCCTTCATCATCCCATTCATACATCTGTGTGGCTTGTTTAAATTTAAGGGGACTGTTGGGCCTTGGTGGAGGTACTGAGGGCCATTCTAGTGTTTGCTCTGCCGTTTTGTCAGTCTGTCTGTCGTCCGGCTTACTAAAAAACTACTGAGCCAATTTATATACATTTTTTGTGGAGGGGTGGGGCATGACTCATGGAAGAACCAATTCAATTTAAGCAGAATGCAGCAGCGCAGAGTAAATCCCCTGTAAAGTTTCCGAGCCAGCCTCACCCTTCTAGCCAATCAGAGGAGGTTGAAGTCAGAGATGGAAGATTTTAGCAGCATGCTCCCTACGTCTGCACGAGTGAAGACACAACAAATCATGTAGGCAAAAAACTGTCCGGAGCAGGGAGATGGAGGGGCAGGAGGAGCAGAGTGGTTTGCTCAAGTCTAAATAGTCTAACGTACGGGTTCAAGACCTTGCATGTTGTCGCTTTAATGGCACACCCATAATATTTGGGAGCTGCTTCTCCTGAATAAAAGCAGTGAAGGCAGAGTGTGACCCACCTCTGGCCCCTGGTATGGCAGTCCTTTCACTATCTCTGGGGCGGCGTAGAGCGGACTTCCACAGTACGTCTGCAGCAGAGAGCCCCTCTGGAAATGGTTGGAGAGGCCGAAGTCAGCCAGCTGAGAAAGAGAGCAAGAGATGAATTCATACATTATTATTATATTCATTTTATGTCACTTGTTGCTCCTGGTCCTGGGATTTGTATTAATTATGTAAATGTGTATTCATTCCTGGAGTAGAACATAGAAAGTAACACAAACAAATACTCCCAGAGGGCAGAGGATGAGTTATTGTGAAGCCCTATGACAAAGATTTTGATTCGGGAATATGGGTGATACCAATTGAAAATAGGTCAAAAATCTGACCCATATCTCACACAAGTATCATATTTCAGTCCAATCTTTCACAGCACACTTGACCAGACCAGTCCAGCATTAGTGTGAAGTGAACAGAGAAGGATTAATGTGACAAGGATCACACACCTAACACTGAGAGTATAAAACTGCAAACTAGGAGCAAAAACACAACAACTCAAAAGCAATTCCTTTTAAAAGAGCCAAAAATAGGTTTGAGGAGCTGTTGCCAAAGTAAGTGTGAGCGAGGGGAAGAGAAGAGTGCCAAAAACATCAGGCTGCACGTAACGGAACAATCACTCACTCGAGGATACGAGAGCCGTGCACACACACGCCAAGGCTTTTCTCTATCTCAACAGATAATTAAAAAGCGCAGCAGCCGCCTATCAGGCCGGCTGGTGTTAAAAATACTCAGCGTGACAGCTTTATATCCGCGGAGCAGAGGTACAGGGAAACAGAGACCTCACAGGTGGTATGTATATATAAGTCAGCTCACTGTTTACATTATACCTGCACATACAGTGGCAACAATGATGTGTAGACACAGTAGGCTTTACCTTCAACAAGTGTGTGTGTGTGTATGGGGAGGGGGGTACACGTGCCTGGACACTTCATGGACCAATGTATGAAGCAACAGCCTCGACAGAATATTGCTCTGCCTGTTGAGATTCCTCTGACATCATCACATGAGCCGGAAGTTAAAATGTGGTAAGAATAGCAACAGTGTCCAGGTCCCTGAGCTACAATCAAGTCATACTTTTGTTTGGGTTTATACAAGTAAATGGTCAAACTTCCCTGTTTTCTATTGACTAATCCATCTGATTCACTCTGGTGAAAAGTATGTGTGTTTCTGTGTGTCTGGCTTCACATCAAGCAAAAAAGTGAATTTAAATTTGACTGAATTATTCGTTTTATGAACGACTTGTGCTTATCGACCTCTAACCTCGAACTAACGCTTTTGTTTATGTTCAGAGATTTCTCGCTATACTGACTATGAAATATGCATCTGTATATAAGAGACGTCAGTGTTCGTTACCTGTCGAAATATAAAATTAACTAGTTAAACAAACACTTTCAAAGCAACTACTAACGGCCTCGGTCATTTCCTGCAGCGGACGCTGTGGAGGCCCTTGTGATGAACCTGAGGTCTGAGATGAATGAAGAGCTGCTGAGACGTTTGTTTTGATGGACAGACAGCATACTTGCATCAAAACCCTCAGATTTGCACGATTGCTACTAGATTCCTTGCATTCCCCTTTCTCCGTGCACAACTCCCATATAAGGAGAGGAACATCCAAATAAGGCACAAAAAACCCCCTGGCTTCATTTATAAGACCTGGCACAGTGTTTGTGCTGGTTCAACGTGCATGATTTAACAACATATTAACATTACTGTGGGCAGAATGTGTTCCAATGTATGTTCTGAATCTGGACTTGGTTTGCATTTTTATTTCGAAGCTGGCAAAATCATCCGTTAACAGCTGTATGAGGTGAAGCTTCGTTCTAGCGTGCTAAGAACATCAGCAGTGGAAAACAAGATTGTTTCCTAAAACATAACGGCCAGTGTGTCATAGAGATGTTTGTTCAAAAATAAAAGTACAATCTGTGGTTTTGGATGATTCATGATAACTTGTGATGTATTCAATGCTGAGGCCAACAAAGATTTTGTCAGAGGACACATCCATTTTTTACACGGATAAGTATTTTGTTTTTGGAAGGAGACTCTTCATCTTTTTTCTTCTTTTTGTCAAAGTAACCTGCAGGCTGGGTTTGTGTGCTTTTTATAGATCTTACCTTGACATTCAAATCTTGATCTAAAAGGATGTTCTCCAGTTTGAGGTCACGATGCACCACACCATTCTGGAAAGAGAGCAGAGACACGTGAGTTCCTGCGCTGCTACTCCCTCCTGCACACTCTCAGATGTTTTCTCTCTGCGTGCAAGCATGAGACTGAAGTGTCTGAAGTTTACAATACAACCCACCGGGAACATAGAGCATTTGTCTTTAATTTACTACTTTATGTTCCTTAACATTCCTCTCAGGCCTCGTGTAGCAGGGCTACGAATCCAACATACCAGAGAGCCTTGAGAAAACTTATCCGACTGTTAAATCATCATCATCAGGCACGAGGAAGTGCTTTGTTTGGGTTAATTAATGTGATGAGATGGGATTTTACCCCCTGATGGCATTAAGCACCTGGGAGCCAACGTGAAGCCACAGGGGGGGGGAGACAGCTGTGGACCAGAGTGACAAAGAGCAGCCGTGCACTTCAGTGGAAGGGAAACATCTGTTTCAATGATATTAAATAAGTGGGAAATCATAAGAAGAGGCAATGCTACAGATAACTGTGACCACCCAGGAAACCGTGTGACGCAGAGGATCTTTTGTATATTGAACACGACCCTTTCTTTATCTATTTATTCCATCATCTTCAGAGTATTTACTGTAAGAGGAGGAAATGACCCATGACCTTAGATGGTGTTTTGTGCAATGTATGCGTGTGTGGGTGCATGCAAGGCAGTGATAAAGGTGAAAAGAATTCTGTGTGGCTGACCACATTTTATTCTTGCAATTTTTATCATCAACGTGAACTGATTCTGAAGAACAGCACAAAAACAAACTGACTCTTGAAGCTATAATAATCCCTCCATGTGTCCTGCATACCTCAGAGGCACATTCAATAATTCATTCATGCCGGAACGTTCACATCTATTTTGGGAAAATATTCAAAGGGGCACAAAAAAAGGAGCACAAAATCCCCCTCGCCGCTAACTACAAAGCTGCAGGAGCTGAATGATAATCTCGAAGTTTAATGTCAGGGATTCATGAAGAAACCAACCTGCTAAAATAAGAATGATATGAAAACAAAAACCTTTCTGTCACATCCAACTCAGCTGACCGAAAGCCACAGATCCTCACTTCTCCTGCACCATAAGGCACCAATGTATTCATAGGATTTGTGTATTTCCTTGATGAGTCCAGTCTGATTTTATGTACACAACAATAAAAACAATGAAACAAAGAGGAACTTCCCCAGGGCTTGGAAGGAGGAAGGAAGCTCATTTTAAGCAACGTGTCGGTTAAATGTGTCAGTGTGTGACTGTAAAAACAATCAAGGCTTAATGCTCTCTTAACCCAGAGAGATCTGAAAACTCGAGTCAAGTTTTTCTGCAGCATTAGGATTAGGATTTAGTGGATTTAGCCGGACCGCATTTGCCCGTGTTCAGTTGAATACCGCAGCAAGCGAATCACTACGTACCGACATGTCCCTTAAGTTAGACTGAAATACTTTGGTGCATTTGCCCAAAGTGTGTGTGTGTGTGTGTGTGTGTGTGTGTGTGTGTGTGTGTGTGTGTGTGTGTGTGTGTGTGTGTTTGTGTTTGTGTGAGTATAAACCTTGTGGCAGTAGTGGACAGCAGATGTGATTTGTCTGAAGATGCCTCTGGCTTCTGTCTCTGGCAGTCTCCTCCTCTCCTGGATGTAATCGTACAGCTCTCCTCTGCTGGCATACTCCATCACTATCACGATCTTATCCCGGCTCTCGAACACTGCACAGGACACATTGACAGCATGACATTATACATCTGAGTCTCAGAGGTTGACTCAGATTTACACCATACAACAGTGAGAGATGCTATTCTGCATGTGTGGAAAATGAGACACACAGAAGCTTGTTAACGGACAGAGTTAACAGAATATTTCAAACTTTTATAATGTTTCTGAATTGCTGTGTGTTATTAATGATTGATATTCATTGTTTTTTTCAAATCACCACACCCCCTCCTATTTCCACCAAGAGGGAACCAGAAGTTGTGCACACTGTTGCTCCTTTGTTGAGTTTCATGAGCTAACACTCTTACCTGATTAAGGTTTACTGCCTGAAAACAATGTAATTAAGTAAAGTGAACACAAGTGACCTGAACTGCTGGCACCTGTGAGTGTATTTTCCATTAGTTAGATATGGATCCAATAAAACATCTCATTAACACACATTGGCTTTGAGTAAAATCTCACCAGAATCAAATCCAACAAAACAAAATATTAAGCTTTCAGGGGGTTAAAATGCTGGAATAATATGTTATGACATGAAAAGACCAAATGACAATGTGTTAGATTGTCTCTTAATACTGTTAAAGAAAAAGATCTTTTTGAAAAACGGTTCACAGATATATTTTTTAAATGCTAATTTCAATTTGCTGAACAAGCTGGGCACTGCAGCTTTTTTCTCACACAGGAGTCAGTAGAGCACTTGTTGAGGACTATTTTCAGCTGTTTACATGAGATCGACCCATAAATAAACTACAGGGCCAGTGGTAATGAAGGCGTGTGTCACGGTACAATGTTGTGGTTCACTGATGTTGTTTTTGAAAAGCAAAGTGGGACTGTGGCACTGAGGAAGAAGCTTTATGAGAATTTGGACACTTGCTTGTTTTCGTCAATTCATTGTTGGTTTTAAACTTTGTTGACAATTAGAAATCTTGCTGCAGAACCATCATGAAAACATCAGGAATGTTTAAGGGACTGATATTTATGAAATTTGGTGCAGATCCAAATCAAAATCTAGGTCTAGTGACTTTTGAGCCATGGCGGAGGAAAGAACCCTACTGAGTGCCATTCAAGTGGCACAAGTGCTGCTGTGTCCGTCAGATGACTACTGTGATTAAAGGAGTATGACACCCACTTTGTAAGTAATAATACCCGATTCAATTTAGCTCTTGTTTGCAATGTGTGTGTGTTTGCAGTCTTACCCTCGTGGAAGCGTATGAGGTTTGGGTGGCTGAGCGAGGAGGTGATCTCGATCTCCCTCTGGATGTGGATTTTGTCCAGGTCGTCGGTGATGCGCTCCTTGCGGATCGACTTGATCGCCACCTGTGAAAGGACAAACACAACTGAGTCCGGACATGTCAAGAATAATGTTCAGAACACACATGATCTGATCACTGCAGCGACACAGTGAGTTTACAGCTTAGAAAGAAAGAAACAAAGGTAATCCCTCTGGAAGAGACAGTCTTCCAGGTTATCAGGGGACAGTCGTTTCCATGGTGATACTTTGTACAACACTTGTGGATGTTGCCAGAAAACACAGATTCCTCTTTGATGAAATCCTCTGCAAAACCCAGCAGTTAACTCTTTTTCCTCTTTACCTCCCTGAACTCAAGTCTTTCAAGTGATAAACACAGATAAATGCACAGTTAGTGTATCACGTGAATAGACATGCATGGAAACAAAGACATACACAGTGTTGATACAGTTACACACACACACACACAGAAATAAAATCTCTGGGTATTAGAGGTGATTATGTGGGTTTTAAAGGCTGGATGGTGAGAGCAGGTCTCCTGTGATCTGCGCTCACACAGAGGCAGAAGGTTGACAGCTGCACTGTTTACACTCTGCTTCCTTAATCCCAGGCACTCCCTGTACCCCGATGTAACCCCCCGACCACAGACACACAAGCACATACACTACAAAAGCAGGCACCCCAGCATGAGCCCCTGGATCTCTTTGGATCGAGTAACTTTTGACAAAACGGCAAGGACAACACAAGGACAACACAAACCAGGGCTTCCTTTTTTTAGAAATAGAAAAACGGGACGACAAAAGAGTAGGAGATCTGTTATAATGCGATGGTGAGTCTATAGGACTACGTAGTGAGGTTGACATCCAAAGATAGCGATGATCGTACTGCCGTATAATCGTGTCAACCCCTTCAGAGTCTCTATGGGCGAGCAGGCTTCTCCCTCGGGTCGCAGCTCCAGAATTCTCAGCTGCTGGAAAAAAACGTCTACGAGACACTGGAAGACACAATTCACACGCTCCATCAACTGCAGCAGTTATACAACACAAGACAAACACAGACCACTGAACTCCCAGGACTGACCGGACCGTCTTTACTGATGGGGTGATATTCAATGAAGCAGGCTATTATTTTCATCTTTGCTATGATTTTATTTCATTTAACCAGAACATCTTCTGCCAGGGAGTCCTGGTTTAAGATGGGCAGCAGTTAAAATAAAATAGAAGCACTGCTGTACTACATTATATACTACAAAATGTACCACAACATAGCTAACAGATTAAAGGACAAAAATCATATGGGATCAATGCATTATGAAAAATTGAAGCACACGTTAAAAGCAGTAACATTGTTAAAATCATAAAAGTTCTTTTAAATGTGGCAACAGAAAGAAACGATTCCAAGTTTTAAATATCTTGCAGCTCATTCCAAGCATGTCGTGCATGAAAGCAAAAGGCAGATTTACCCAGGCTATGTTCGCACTGCTAATCAAGCGCTCAGCATTCTGCAGAGGATATTTATTTCTCACATCGCCAGACTGATGTGGCTAAAGTCTGTCAGGCAAGAGGGAGTGCAGGGTGTTGGGTCAGAGATTAGGCCGCTCGTATTCAGAGGCTGTTTGCTGAACGACACAAGTCCAAGCTTGGGGAGATGTCATCATGTAGGATGTTTGCATGCTCGTGAATGTTTTCTGACCCAAATACCTGCTGGCTGTGGCAGTAGAGTCAGGGAAGGGAAGGGGTGGATGTGATATAAGCTGAAGGGATGTGGACAAAACAATCTAACATGTGCTTTTAGACTGTCAGACCTCACGAGATGCTTCTGGGAAAATGACATCTATTGGTTTTAATATTGATGTAAATTGTAAAGCTGTTATGTATGGCCTATTTATAGAAAAACAGCCCAGTCCATGCCTGGAATTGTATTGGACACTGATCAGTACAGTCAAAGTTATGGAAAACAAGATGTGCTGGAGTTTTGTATAAAGTCTTTTCAAAAAGCAATAAAGAGGATGTATGAGGCAGCAACAGAACAGGTGACAGTAACGACTATGTGCAAAGTAAAAAGACTTGTCTATTAATGTCATTCTAAACCTTGAGTTTCCCCCACTGGCCCTCGGACTTGGTGTTTAAGTCTGATCAGCAGAGGAGAGAGGCACACTCTGGGCATTGCTCAGCCTTCAGAGCATTAAGAGCATTTTTTTAAACAGGGCACGTGTGAGGAGGAAATTTGGGTATGTGTGTGTGTTTGTGATTTCACCCTTGTGCATGCAAATATGCAGTGTATGCGTCATGTCTAAGCACGACCTCCAAAGTATCCGTCTCACTAACAGTGTCTCATTGTTTATCCGAACAATGTGCTCCATGTGAGATATTTGCCTGAATCACCAAACTGTTCCAGGACACGCAGGAAACATAAGTAGCTACGGGCATGAGTCATGATGATGTCATCAGATATTCTTTTACATTACATATCTATACACACACAGTGTGTAGGAGAACTTACTGTACATGTCGTAATGGTACAGCCAATCTGTACAATGTGTACATATATAAATATGATAAGTCTTAATTAGAACCAGACAGGGTGCAACCTTCTCTGTGCTCTCTTCTGTCTCATGTTCTTTTATATGTACTGCTGTTGCTCCCTGCCTTTTCCCCACTGATCAATTCTTGAGGCTGCTGACGTTTTGTGGGTGTGTCTTGAATGTACTTGATGTCACGATGGGGTTTTGGGTGGTGGACGGCCACTGCTGACTTCCTGTCCCATACGTACACATCCCACGAGCCTGAGCATCGCTCAAGATCCCTGCTGCATTTGTGGAAGATTGAACAGCAGGATTACAGGCTTCTTGCCAAAGGGACCCTTGACCTCAACATCCAGCTACACACACACACACACACACACAGACACACACACACACAGCCCAAAGCTCTCCCTTTCCATAACTAGGAACTTGAGAAATGCGAGTTGATGATGCAAAGTAGGGCTGAACTATACAGTTTCAGCCCTGACGTCCATGCAGAGCAGAAAATGATTTAGAAAGATTTTAATGGCTCATCTTCAAAACAAACTGTGTCGTTACAGCAACAGTTTGATATTTTGGGAAATGCACTTTGTAAACGCTTTCTTGCTAAAAGTTAAATGTCTGTATCTAATAGGAACCAGCAGCTGTCCGCTTAGCTCCAGACTACAAACCAAAGGACTGACTACCAGGACCTTTAAAGCTCACTAATGAACACATTAATTATACGGATCTTATTTGCTAAATCCAGCCGATGACCACAAGTTGTGGTTTTGCAGGGATTGTTTTTGACTGGTTGCTATGATTAGCTGTACTCCAGGAAGTTACTGTTTTCGGCAAAGAAACAGTTTAGCAAATTCTGTAAAACCCTGAAAAACAATGTCATTTTTTTTACATTTAAGTGTTTGTATGAAATTTAACAATTGATAAAAAACAATTGGTTTATTTATAAGCTTTAAGGCGCCAGGATACTCCATCTGAAGTGCTCTTGATCCCCTCCACACCTTTCTGACGTCAGATTGGTGGTGGTCTGATGATTTCTGCAACTTTCTGAATCTGACTGGTGAGAGAGGAGCAAACGATTTAAAAATAAGAGAAACTGCTACAGCTACACCTGGCGCCAGGAGGTATTTCGATCTTGAAAAAAACGAAAAGAAAAAGCAAAATGGTGCAACACAAGTTAAGAGCTGATGATATCTAATGAAATCATGTGAATACTTTTTAAGACTTCAGAAATGTACATTGCACAAGACAAAATCATATCAATCTTATTTTTTGTTCTCTCGCTGTAGTAATGAGTCAGGCTTGCAGCCAGTGTGAGTGACCCGCAGCACAGATTAGTGACCCAGCGTACCCAACACCCATCATCTTTTCCTTCCATTTCTCCCTGTTCATTAGTCGTGTTCACCTCCTGCACCTAAAACAAGCCCTCCTCTTCCTCCTCCTCTTCCCCCTCCTTGTCCTAAAACTGTCTCCTCCTCTGCCTCTTTCCTGCACGCACACAACAGCCTCCTGGTCCTGTTTCCAAAAATAATGTCCGTTTTGTTTCAAAGAATCCTTGGTATGTGCTGGCTACTGGCTCGAGGAATTCAGTATTTTCCCCTTGTCCCACACAGACAAACACACCATATAACTAATTCTCTCTGCACATTCTTCCTGTCCGTTTCCTACCTGTTGTCTGTCTTTCACTCCTACTCTCTGTCCTTTCTTTCTAACCAGAAGGACTCGCAGTGACTGTGAAAGTAGCCATAGGAATTGTGCCACACAGATCACACTTCCACGATCTGATTGCAAAAAAGATAATCCTTATTACTGTGTGTTTGTTTACTAAAAAAACAGAGGGGGAACTTGAGGCTGATGGGGTCACTGTCTGTTTGTGCTCAACTCAGAGCAGAGTGGGGGATTACAGCCTGACTGTTGAGGTTAAACCCACAATTATTCAAACTAATCTGGCCCTGCATCATGTTTTTAACCCAGTTATGTAAAATTAAACAGGAACATGCTATTTGGTGTGTCTGAGACTGCCTGTGCATGGGGGTATGTTTCAGTGGGTAAGGGGGTTCAGACACTCCTCTCCTTGGAGGAGACCTATTGTAGGTATTTTGTCCTCTTGTTCAAGTGCTGAGTGAGTCACGCCAAAGGCATCTCAGCCTGGCAGCACTGGAAGAAGAAGCATGAACTGTGTTCGACACACACACACACACACACACGCACACACACACACACAAACACAAACACACACAGTCCTGTCTCTATGAATACAGAGGAAAATGCATTGGTTTACATTGATTTCCTTGAGACTTACTCTAACTTTAACCATTGTTAAAAAACAAAGCCTAACTCTTACCCTAACCTCAATAACTTTAATCTAAACCTAAACCTAAACTTAAGCTAAACCTAACTTTAACCTCAACATAACCTAAACATAATCTTAAAGGTTCAGTGCGTAGAATGTAGTGACATCTACTGGTGAGGTTGCCTGTTGCAGCTGAATACCCTTCACGTCACCCTCCCTTTCCAAACACGAAAGAGAACCTTCAGTTGTCATAAAAACTTAAAATGTGTTTAATTTGTCCAGTCTGGGCTGTAAAAAACTTTGCAGTCTCCGTGGAGAGGACAACTTGTACAATTTCGATGATCACACACTAGTGAAAACATCACTTGGCTTATTTTACATTCAATTTCTGCCTATGGATCCCTTTCACCTAAAACGTTTACACTAGACCTTTAACGTAGAACTAACCTAAACCTAACCATAGCCCTACCATTAACCTAAACCTAAACATAACCTAATTCAAACCTTAAAACGTCTTCAAATGTCATGATTACATTGCGGGGACTTGCTTTTTAATGCTATAACAATGACAAGTCCTCATGATGTGACTGTGCAGACAGATGCAGGTCCCCACAACATGAGCCACACACACACAAACTTGTCTCTACATAGTTGTGAGGACACTGATTGACATAATGCTTTCCCTAGCCCCTTACCCTAACCTTAACCATCACAACCAAATGCCTAACCCTAACCCTAACCTGATTCTAACCCTGGAACAACCCTTTGAATTTGTGAGGACCAGCCAAAATGTCCTCACAATGATGATACTGAACCAAAATTGGCCCTCATAACTACAGAAAGACATGACACACACACACACAGACACACACAGACACACACAGACACACAAATACACAAACAATACAGCATCATCACCACAACATTAAGTCTTGTATGGGTCTTCAGAGCAGATGAGCTTCAGTCTTCATGACATCATTTAGGCAACGTTCAGCCATAAATATAACAATCTGTCTACATTTCCCTCAACATGTTCAACATATGAACACAATCCATGTGGAAACCAACCATCTTTGACATCACATTCTCCTAACTCACCGTGTTCAGGCTGCTCCTCTCCACCGCCCTCTTCACTTTGCCGTAGGTGCCTTTGCCCAGAGTCTCCATCACCTCGTAGCGGTGCTTCAAGTTGTGTTTGTGCTGGTGCTTCTTCACTTCCATCGGCGCTGAAGCTGTCGCTGCCCGGGCTGCCGCCTCCATCGCCGGGTGCCTCTGCGCCTTGTCCGCGCTGCAGGGACGGCGGCCACTCAGCCTCGAGGACCCCTCGCCGGCTCGGTGGCCTCTGGATGCCGCGTCCTGCAGACAACCGAGCCCGGGGCGGTCGCTGGTGTTCATCGCGCCTCTGCTGTCTGCCTCCCGTCTGCCCATCCTATCCGCGCACTGTGCGCACCTGTCAGGGGCTGGGACCACCGGGTCCCCGAATAATAAGCGTTGAACTCCGAACTAAAGTGTTTGTCAGTGACGCAGAAGTTTCCCGTAAAGAGTCTCATCAGAGCCACAGTCTCATTTCATGTCCTGAGTATGACGATACCAGGACAGCGACCCTGCACTGTTGTCTGCGTCTTCTCCTCCAGACCACAGCAACAGGGGCGATGGGAACCACATGGTCCGGAGCGGAGGGTGGAGCCTCCTCATTCCAGACCCAGCTCCCACAGCAACATCCCTGCAGCGTCACACTCACCCGGGGTCACTCTGGGTTTTCTCAGCAGCAGGACAGAGGATATGAAGGCATGTGAGGAATGCCACGCGGGTCAGACACTCACCCTACATCCACCACTTCTGTCAGACATGAGCTGAGAACAAATAAATCCTGGAGAAGACTTTGGGGGAACAAGAGTTTTGAAGTCAGAGAAAAGGAGCTAATGGTGGTTGAAAGTCTGCAGGATTAAATTACCTCAACAAAAGTCAAATGTCACTTCATTTGAAGCACAATGGCATCCATACATCCCACAGTCACAAACATTGCTAAGTTGGTGCATTTAAATTACATAAAGAATATTATTACATAAGTATAATGGAAAGGGTCAGATTTAATGACGAGTTTTCTATCATGTTGAGTTGATGTGAATAAATCAAATAACTCAAAGGTGATAGAGATCATTTTTATTGACATTTATGAGTGTATAAAAGTTTAGAACCTTTGGTTGATCATTAATCGTTGCTATAATGTCCTAAAACACTTAATCAATCATAATGCTTAATCAAAATTCCCTATAATAACCCAATTCATTTTTAAAAACTTTTTGATCTTGCTTTCTAAAAAGAAATCGGGCCTTTTCAAAAATGTTATTAAGTCATGAAATAATGGCCACTCTGCATTCTTCCTTCAGAGGTCAAGGGTTCAAAAAGTAAACAACAAGAGTCATCAGTGCTCTGCAAAGATAAAAGTCATAAAAAGTTGATTTGAAGGGTTCTCCACCTCAAATGAATACACTTCAACAAGTTATCACTGATATTTTAAGCATTATACAACCATTAACATGAATTAAAAGATAAGTAACCATTTATTAAAGCTTTACAATTATAGGCTACTGTTTTTTAAAGTGACAATTAACTGGAGAACCACCAAAAAGACCAGATAAATTACAGCATTTGTTTAAAGGGCCAGTGTGTATGATTTAGAGACATCTATTGGTGAGGTTGCAGATTGAACCGAATCCATCCGTTTCCATGTAGCACCTCAGGTAACGTAAAAACATGCAAAAACCTTTTCAGAGCTGGTTACCTTAGCTTAGCATAACAGGAAACAGCTGGAAAGGGTTAGCTATTCTCATCTGACTCTTCTTCTCATCTAACTGTCAGCAAAAATGCAAATAACCAAAATTAGCCTGTTTAAAGTTGAAAATAGAATTATAGCTTGAGAAGGGAATATAATGGACATTTAAACATTTTAAAAGATGCCATAAGATGAATGGTTTGTGTTAATCAATTTTGTTGTTGAAATATGTGAAATCCCACAATCAAGCTGAGTTGGGATAAGGCTGTGTGAGATTTAGAAGGCAGAAGTCTATTCCCCACATGTCCTAGCCCTAAACGTTGTTCCTCAGAATCCGGGAGGTCATGCATTAGGGCGTGAAGAGGTTTCGAGGATTGAGGTTAGCTACCAGACAGACGTCATAACTGTCGTGCATGGCTGCTCGTCTTTCCACCACCGTCCACACATTGTCCGCAGGGTCCAGTTCCAAAATCTCCTTAGTGATGATCTCATGACGGCCTGCAGTCAAGAGACAAAGTAGTTGTGGTTGACCAAAATCTAATTTCCATGGAGATACTGCCTCATCAGTAAGCTGGCATTCCCTGGTTGATGTAGACCTAACATGTGCCTTGTGTTTTAAGAACAGGGGGGATTTCAGACAGCAAAGGACATTTATAAAATATAAAAAGAAGCTGCTGGACGTAATTAACATGCATTCAGTCACTGACCTGCCCCCTTGTAGTATCCACAGAGGTAGAGCTTTCCTTCCACTACTCCTATATTGGTGGCGTTGGTTCGGAGAGAGAGCAGTGTAGTCGGCAGGGCTGGTCCTGCCCTCCAAGTGTCTGTATCTGGGTTATAGATCTCCACGGAGCTCAGACAGCAGCGTGATTGTCCCCGGTCTTCTCCATCACAACCTATACCACCTGAAGGAAACACAAACACATTATCTGGCTCTGTGCCTTCTCATTCAGAAAAATACGTAGAAATACATTTACTGCCTGGCTTGTGGTCAGACCTAATACGTAGATTTCTCCATTGAGGACAGCTGTGCCGCAGCGGTACCTGGAGTACTTCATCCTGGAACACTCGGTCCACCTGTCCTTGCTCGGGTCAAACTGAAACACACGGTTACTCAACTTGTCGGGGTCGTCGTCCGGCTGATCCTGGGGGAGGACAAGGCAGCAGATTTCAGGAATATATGGAACAAGGAAGAAAAAGACAAGATAATCATGTGAGAAATGAGAACTGAGGGGCAGCACTGGAAAACCCAACCATGATTCAAGACTGTTGGTTTTGTTGTAGATAACTGGGATGTCGCAGCCTGTTGTTTAGCTCATTCGTCTCACTATCCCTCACTCTGATGTTGTGCAATTGTGGGCTTAAAATATCTATTCTTATTCGTATTATTTAGATCACTAGAGGGCGCCAAAGTCTGTAAGTGTGATCATTGTGGGAAGATCTTTGTACACAGCTATGTATGGACCAAAAAATCTGCCAACTATAATCTCATATAACAATTACACCATAACTGATGGTAATGAGAAATAATTTTTCAGCTGAGTTCCACCCATTTAAACCCATTTAGAAAAGGCACAAAAACAGAAATCTCTCATTTAAAGCAGATACACCTATCCATAGGACGTTTTCACCTAAAGTGACGGGGCCACGTAATGCTATACATATTGACAGGTCTTTCTCCGTACCTGTGGTGTCCAGCCCCCGAGCACATAGAGATGCTCCTTCAGGCTCACAGCGCAGTGGCAGGCCAACGGGAGAGGCAGAGGAGCGAAGCTGAGCCAGCTGCCTCCTCTCTTCAGCGACCACCTCTCCACGCTGTCTGTGATGATGTAGTGATTGTGCATTTTCATCTGACCACCTATCATGTAAAGTGCGTCGCCTACGAGCCCCATAGCGTACATGTCCCTGTGTGCAGCTGAGCACACCTCCGCCCAGCTGCTCTCCACTGAATTATCGTACCTGGAAGACAGACAGCGGTTCAGATCTGGTTCTGAATGCAGTGTCACTCAAATACGTGCGTTTCCTAAAAATGACACACACACCTGTAGATATCTAACTTCTTCCGCCTGTGTTGGTCGAAAGTTTCAATGGCCACCACTATGTTATTGTCCCGTGTCACTGCACCCGATGTGATCTGTCCCACACCTCCACAGGCCCTCAGTGGAGAGGGGATGTAGCAAGTTTTTCTAGCATGGGGGGCAAAGCACAAACTGAGGTCAGCAAGCCCTCCACGTCGGGCGGGCACTCCCTCCTTATTAACCCCACCCAAACAGAGCAGCAGGTCAGTGGCCTCCATGCCGTAACGAAGAGCCGGACGAGGTGGAACTGATGTCTCACAGTGACCTGAGGTCTGGAGAGCAGCATCAATCATCCCAAAGCACTCAGCATCCCGCAGCAATACCTGGAAGATTCATTTATAGGCATTATATTCTGTCAGTTTACTAATCACTTGGAAAATGTGGGTAAAGAGTCTCCAATTTTATCACTTGGCCTTTCCCTCTGAACATCCCTTCTCACCGGGTTTCTCCTCCTGGCTTTGCGGAGGAATCCAGGGTCCACAAGCTCCAGACGGACACGCCTGAGTAACTCTGCAGCCTGGGCTTCACTCTGCGAGTCCCCTCTTCGCCTCTCCACCCATCGCAGCACCAGCTCCAGCACCATCTCCTCCTGCGATATGTTGAGGTCATCTGAACGCAGAAGATCCCCAAGACTTTGGGCGTCCAGGTCCAGCACTTCGTCTTCTTCACAAACCTAAAGAGAGCATGACAAAGAAGGAGGAAAACCATGACAATGTCTGACTTATAAAAATTAACAGAATTGCAGCAAAATTGTGCTAAAGGAAAAATACCCAAAGCATCTCTTAATCTGTGTGCTACTGTGCAAAACAGAGTGCAGAGTTTCTGCCATCTAGTGGCAGCAACAAGTAGCTGAAAAACTCAAATTGTCTCAATGTTATGCAGCTTAATTTTAACAAAGAGCATTTTCAAAGAGTTCATCTATTCCGAGCCTTTGAATGAGCTGATCTTAAGGGACCAATATAGACATTATATTGCAACTAATTACATAAATCATTTTCATAGCAGTCATGAAGTTTTACACCTCTAATTAAGAGAATATTTGGCACTAGTGCCACTGAATGCCTCACCTGTGCAAAGTGCTGGCAGAGGTATCTTAAAGCGCAGTCAGCCAAACCACTGGCCCCCAGGTCTCTGGCCCAGTGATATAGACCAACACAGTTGGAGGGGTCCATACTGGTCTCCATATGGCTCTGACACAACCTGAACCAGTGACAATGAGGGGATAAAAAGGGGTCCATATTTCAAACATGGGCCACTGCCATTTTACTACTGCACCGAACACAGGCAGTTACATGGAGGATAACAGGTAGTCTCTAATCTAATTCCATATCCTGTCTATTCTGTTGATTTGGTAATGATCAGCATCCTACATCCCAGTCTCATTTTTTCCACCTGAAGGCTCCGTCCACATGGAGCAGGAAGGCAGCAGCAGCCACTGCCTGGATGTTGTCATTGGAAAGGTGGAGTTCAGCTCGGTACATGTAGCCCAGTAGCAGATCCAGGCTGTGAGCGGGGGTGTCTCTGAGTGGTACCTCTCCTCCCCGGGTCTCTTTCAGACCACATGTGAACATGGCCTGGACACAGCATTGAATGCATTAAAAAAAAGAAAAAAATTGCAGAGAAAATACTCAATAATTTCTATCAAATGTGTGCAAGGCCACTTTACCTGGAAGTAAGGGCTGAATGCAGACAGCACAACCTTGTGGCAAGGAAAGGGAATCCCCTCCGCCAGCAGCACCACGTCTGTGAGCTCCTCAGCGGTTCTCATCCTCTCCAGCTGCCTGAGCAGGACTGAGCCGTGCTCGGCCTGAGCAGAGTCCATGTGCTCTAGTTGTGGGTGTGAGCATAGAGAGAACGCTTGGTGCAGAGCAGCACCAAACACACAAACAAAACAAAAGAGGAAAATAAGAGAAAACTGCTAAACTTTATATTTTCATTTGCTTTGTCATTTTAATGGATGTTATTTGTAGCCTAATTTGAGCTCAAACAACTGTATTTGAATAAAAGTTTGAATGGACCAGCTTCCATCCATCCATCCATCCCTCCTTCCATCCATCCAACCATTCACTCACAAGTCCTATTAAAATATATACTGCATAAAAACATCAGGACCATATCAAATCAAAGCACAGACAACAGAAGGGAGACTAGCATGTGTCTCCAATAAGACTTGGTGGTTTCACTCCTCTCGTACAGAAGACTTTCTTTTCCATGTTGAACAGGGTCTTTAACTGGCTCTGGCCACCAACTCACACACTTTCGCAGACAATGTCGACACTGTCAGTGGGCGTGCCAAACATACACAGGCCTCTGGACTCCATGCAGACACCACAGGCAGTTCACAGCATGAGCAGTAGCGCGTTAGCATGTCTTTATCTATGGCTAACACAGAGAAAAGAGCCATCATACCAGTGTTGTACGAGCCTGTCCAGAGCCAGGATTATGATGACGTCACTTTTGATGTCTTAAACTGCTGCAGGCTGGTGTATTTTTATTTATTCATTATTGGACTGGCAGGTCTGTCTTGTGTTCCAGTTGCTGCCTGTGAGAGGAGGCAGTGTCATGCTCACTGGTGAAAAGGTTTAAAATAGACCAGTGAGTGCCGGTGGTGCTTAGTAGTGTTGTTGGTGAGTTCAGGTTTCCAGAAGTCTCTGAGCAGCAGTGACCATTCAGTGTTTCACTCTCATTCAGTCCGTCCTTTAAAAGACATGCACATTTCTCCAGAACATGGTTAAAATACCAAGGTGTGTATTTCTTCTAAAAGAATGAACATAAAGACACAACGTTAACAGGTTGTTGGATCAGGGGGCAGACCCAGGATTTCTTTAACATTGTGAAATGGGTGATTTCTCTGAGTAATTCAGGAATGTTGATAAAAAGATTACAGATATTTTAGGATACACATTGATTCAACATGATGTATTGACAAAGCTTGTCCCAAAACCATCTCATTAAGATGAGCAGGGTCATGAACAGGAGATAAATGGGAAATCCTTAAAAATATACAAAACCCTGCTCTCCTACATACTCAAGGTGGATAAAATAAAATCCTATTTCAGAATGCGAGACCTCTCAAAAAGGCTAAATCAAAACAGGCATATGATGTCTGTCCGAATAAATTTTAAACAGAGTACACATTTTAGCAAAACATTACATGAAAGGGGAAGTTCACCACTTTTTCTTTCTGGGTCAAGTAGGTCAGTTGCTCAGTGATCTCGCAAATCTATACAGAGAGCAAGTATTTAAGTATTTAAGTTGTTTTATAATGCACAGCTCATACAAATGTTCCTCTCAGCAAACATAAACATGGACTAAAGGAAATTTCATGATTGGCATCGAGGAAGGAAAAATGATGTCACTGTTCACTTGCGCTAAAAACTGAAATCAAGGACAAATCCACATTTGGAACAAAACACTTGAAGCAATCATACTTTACATTTTAAAACACACAGTATATTTAAAGTGTACTTAAGAGAACGTATCACGGCTATGCTGTTGTTTGCCATCGACTGTGACTCAGCAGCTTCATGCACTTTCACAAACATTCCGTCAAACATTCACAAAGATGCAGACAAACACAACACAAATGACTGTAGTTTTACCGTCTGTCATAGGTTCAGCCGGGGACGTGTGTCCTGCCCACATTTCTGGAGGTGACATAAATCACAGTACAGTGTTATCTCAGGTCAATTGGTTAATAACAATGTTTACACGCACATTTATGCACTCTGCGTTACATAGCAGCAGCAGCTAAACAATTCCTACAGTTTCGAACTTCAGATTAATCATCGAACAGGTCAGGATGTGTGTGTGTGTGTGAACTTGTTTCCACATGTGAAACGTGCTCACATGTGGAAACTGTCCCACTGCAAGTGTTTTTGTCAGGACCTTCGGCCTTCAGGATGGTCTCGGTCGACAGAGCATGTATGTGAAAGCAGACAAAATAAAAAACATCAACAGAATACACATTTTTAAAATTGAGTCTAAATTGACTGACTCTGTTGAGGAGTGTGCTTTGAACACATCTTGAACTCAGTTTACCATTTCAGGAGGTGGTCTTTTGGACCTCCATGTGAATATTTAATTTGTTGAATCAAGCTTCCGATGATCAATTTATAATTTTTGCCTTTTTCTTGATTTGATAACTTTTATTTTGGGGCTTAAACACTTATTGTTTTGAGCATTGCTGGCAGTATATAGCTCTAAGAATAGTAGTGTTGGTCTGTTGGTCAACACCATAGTTTTGTGACTGGATAGTGGAGACACAGCGTCCATCATTATTTACAGTGTCACTTTATTGGTCCAAATTGAAATATTTTGAAAACTGTGGGATGGATTAGAATGAAATTTTGGCATAAATAGAACTTGGATGATCTCTTGCCTTTTCCTTCAGTGCCAAATGTTAAAACATTAATTTTTTCAATACTTTATTTATACCCAAAAATCTAATACCTAACTTTAGCATTTACCTTAAAGCACAGCTTCATAGCCTGCATCCATGGCTCTTATTATATATTTTCTTGTCTTTTTCCTTTATGATTCCTTTCCTCATAGTAATGTTTGTATACGATATGAGTCATCTGCCATTTCTATAATTTCTTCCCCTTCCTAATTTCATTCATAACTACAAATTTTAGAAAGTAGGTCAGGAAAAAAGACCTCTCGGCCACGTGAAAATCTATATCACTGAACAGGTGATAAAGTACCTCACCTGTGCATCCACGCAGTTAAATGATTGAACTTGTTATTTATCTATTGATAAGATGTGAGCGGCAGCATCCTATGCTTGAAAGTCTCCCACAGAGTGAATGTCACATCAATCAAAAGATAATGAGTTTATTGGGTTTGGGTTTCTTTGCTCTGCCGTGTTTGTTATCGTGAGCAGAACCAACATATACGTTTCCTTCATAAGACCTTTGTGCCGCTTAATTTCAGCAGCTGTCACATTCACACTGAAAGTATCTCTATTGACAAATTCCCCTAAATGTCTCTTATGAAACATCGTTTAACCACATGAAAAATAAACTGAAGAAACTGACACTGGTTTTAATGTCAGTTTCAATAATGAAAAACTTGTAGTGAGATGTGAATGTTCCACTCACCTCTGGGAGGAAAACAAAGATGAGACATCTGCAAACTGTTTCACACCGTGCTCCCTCATAGTTTAGTCTCTCCCTGTTTTTATCTCACTCTCTCTGTAAGAAGGTTTTGTTTGTATCACATTTTTGATACAACGAAGATGAAAATGCTAGAAACAAAACCAAGTTGCCATTTAACATGTGGTACGGGATCAGAAAAAGTTTAACCACATTTCCAAATGGAACATCTTGCATTTTTTTGTATCCCTTCACTTTCAATGTGGTGGTATAATAAGTTTATTTTTACATTAACCATTTAACTTGTAGCAATTTCCCAGAACCATGAGTCAGCAGTAATCATTTAAATAGTTAACTACAAGTAATGGGGTTGTGGTTGCAACATCTGGCCTTTGCCACTCCAAGTGGAACCGGTGCAAACGTGATAAAAGAGACCATGTTTAAACATGGACAATGACAGGAAAACTCATGAATCAAAAAAAGAGAAATTAAATAGATAATGCTGAATAATGTCAAGGGGTTTACAAAAACAATTGTCAAAAAGGTTCGACTTCAGTTTGTGTAGAGCCGTAGTTACTCTGTTGTGGTATATACTTTTTTTATCCAATTTTCTTATTAAAATGAAGCACATCTTGTTTTGTATAATCTTTAAATGAGCTGAGATGTGGTGGGGCTGTAGAAGATTGTCTCTAGTTATTCTTCTATCTGCACTTAGTCATCAAAGTGTTTTAGTTTTAGTCTTACACACATGTACATATGGGGCCAGGGTTAATAAGTGCAAGGATGTTTCCTGTTGCATCTAACACTCATCTACCTCCGTTAGTCATTTCAGTCACAAAACAGAAATCCCGTCTTGAGAACCACTTGCTCCTTAACGTACATTAAATGCTGTGAACCTGAAACATCCATACATTTTCAATGACACAACAGAATCTGAGACGACAACAGAAACATCTTGTTTCGAAAGGGGTTATCCCTGTCCATTTGTTTGTTTGTCAGCAGGATTAAGTAATAAAATATTCCACATAACAAAAAAAAGCCTTTGTGGAGGCATGTGCTCTACTGAGTGCCAGTCCAGTTTTATACTACTGATCATTCTTTTTATTTATACTGTCGTATGTGTAATGACAGCAGAGGAGCGGAAACATATTAAAACTGAGACATAACGTGTTTGCTGATTTCCTGCTGACGTTGAAAATATTGTGACTGAGGAATATTGGGCACCAATAAAGATAAACTCTTCTTCAAACGTAAAAAAAAAACAACAGAAAAAAACCACAACATGCCTCATACAGCTCGGGTGGTGTCATCCAAGTGTCTGCAAGCCCTGACATTCATATTCATATTTAACGTGTTTTAAGCCTAAATGTCTACAAATGGAAGTAGCAATGCTGTACCTGTTGTTTTTTTCCTACTTCAATTATATTGGATTTGGCTGCAGCACTGTTTACCCATTTTGTGGACTCAAACACTCCATCAGCATAGTGGTGAGTAGATAATGAGTGTATTTAAAAAAAAATTCAATGAACTATCTCTTCAATAAAAGAAAAGCGACGATACAAACTTGAATCTTTAACGTAGATTATGTGAGTATACAACCAGGTGTGTGTTTGTCAGCGTGTCTCTTAATTTCAGAAATGTACTAGTTTCTTACACGGATTGGAGTGTCTACCACTTTCAGGCCTTCCAGCTGCAGTCTTCAGCAGGATCATCACAATAAGCACACACGCATGCATGTACCAATAAAAACATATAACCACAGGTGTGCAAATGCAGAATAGCGACTAAGGTTCAGAGTCACTCCCACAGGCCAGCTGAGGAAACCAGTTCTCTCAATAAGGGAACTGCCCCATCCATTGAAGATGACCCAGGAGCAGAGAGGAGGAGCTGAGACAGACATCAGCTTTGCGAAGGTGTGCTGAATTCGCTCAAACACACCTGGGACATGGAAGAGAAAGGTTGTTCACATGGGGAGTATTTTGTGCAGAGGGAGGTTCTGGATGAGCCGCGTCTGGATGAAGTGGCTCAAAAACAGAAGTGGACCAAACCGCTGACCCTGGGGGAACGGCTGAAAGACTCCCTGAGGTAACAACAAAAAAAGGACACATGGGGAGAGTGGTGTAACAGGCAAGAAATGAGAAAACTGGAAAACCATGAGACAATGACACTGACTGTCAAGACCGATGTGTTTGTATTTGGCTGTGTAATGTCTTCTTACTGTGTGTGTGTGTGTGGCTTTACTCTGCCTCTGCCTGCTATGAAGACACTTACAATAATTAAATAGTCATGAATAAGTCTGTGTGTGTTCATGAAAATTGCGTTTGCACTTTGTCTTCGTTGTCTCACCTCAAAGCAGAACAGTGATGATTATAAAAAGTTGACCGGTGGTCTCATCTTAATCATGTAATAAATGACAATGAATGAGCAAAGTTCATAGCTTGATTCAGTTGGACAAAACAGTCACACATTATATGAGACACATTAACTATTCATGACTGTACAGAATATATCCTTTTGCATTTAATATAATGTATCTGTGGGTGCTGCTACTTTAAAAGGCCAGGGAGGAACCCATAAAATGTGGATCGAGGCAGATGCAAGATAAGAAGTTTTCAACTTATTCTCCATTTTCCCAAAGAATAATTCATGGATCTTGGCATGGATCTTGAAACTCAAAAGATCTTTCGTTTGTCCAGTTTGGACTACTGTAATAAACATGTCTAGAGGACCCCCTCGATGTAAATATAAAATACTTAAATATAAAGGGCTCATTCAAGTAAAGAAAACAACAATTTGTACAATTTAGATTATTGCATTCTAGTGAAAACATCACAAGGATGATTTTATATTCAGTTTATGCCAACAGATCCCTTTCACCTAAATCTTTCACACTAAACCTTTAAGGAGATTGTTGGTGGATGCAGGTTTTAAATGTGAAATTACTTGTGTGTCTCAGTAAAATGAACGTTATTCATTTCTGTTGCAGATGTTCCGTGCCCAGGCTGAAGCACACAATGGTGAGCTGGGTGCCTGTTCTTGGCTGGCTTCCTCAATACTCCATCAGAGAAAATGCAATTGGAGACCTGATCGCTGGCTGCAGTGTGGGCATCATGCATCTGCCGCAGGGTTTGTATATATAGATGTGGACAGAGTTCATCCACGTTACACCTCACAAAGTTCAGTTTGACATTTTGGGATCTGCGCTCATGCTGTTTCTTGCTGGGAGTTAGGTAAAACAAAATCTGATCCATCCGAGCAAGACTGCTTCCAGTCTTTTAGTTGTTAGTTATGCTAGACGTCTCCTTGCTGTACCTTCATATTTAATGGACATGAGAGTTGTAATGGTATTAAAACTCTGATCTCAGCAATTAAAGAAAATACGTTTTTCTAATAATACCAAAGAATACCAAAGAACTCAATATATTTATTTCATATTTTTTATATATTCTTGTAGCATCATAACCTCCATGTAGGGGTGAAAGATGAAATTTCTCACTGTAAACTTGAAAAAAACAATATTGAAGGAGAAGGAGAAGAAAATGTGCATTTTATTATAAAAACTGTACAAGAAACGAAAGGCAAAATGATCCCTGGGAAGTGCAACAAAACTAAACCATAAATGAGAACAAAAAATAGCACAAAACTAGATCTGCAGCCTCTCCGCAACCTGCCAACTCCTATCTTCCCCCTTCACCCCTGACTGGCATTTACTTTTTTAGCCTCACATGCCCTGAACGTAGAAACCACACTCAACATGACGAACACAAGACCAAGTTAGGACTCTGGGCTCCTGCTGACATCACAATTCAACCTATCTGCAAAAATAAGATAATACACAGAAGACAAATACAACATCACCTGCTGTCACTTTTACTTTTGTTTTAAACAAGGTAGAGGCCTTTTTTTTAATCAAATATTTTTTTTTTACCAGGTATGGCGTATGCTCTTCTGGCTTCTCTCCCCCCTGTGATTGGCCTGTACACTTCTCTATACCCTGTGCTGGTCTACTTCATCTTTGGCACCTCCAGACACCTCTCTATAGGTGAGAAACTGTGTGTATGTGGCCTCTCGTCATTAAGAATAATGTAAAACATAATAAAGTGATGTCACTGTAGATAAAGTGATCATTGCTGATACGTACGTGTGAATCTATTCTTCTGAATGTCCAGGTACGTTTGCTGTGATGAGCATCGTGATCGGGGGTGTGACAGAAAGGCTTGCACCTGACAGTAACTTTTTCCTAAACGGCACCAACGGTACACAGAGTGTGAATATTGAAGCTCGGGATGCCCTCAGGGTACAGGTAGCATGTTCCCTCGCAGTCTTGTCAGGGATCTTTCAGGTGTGTGTTTCTGTCCTTTTCAACCAAACAACCCTTTTTACATCATATTTCACTGCTCTCGATTGACCCTCTCTCTTTTTTTCCCCGTCATAAGATCCTGTTTTTTGTGGTGAGGTTTGGTTTCGTGGTCACGTACCTGTCTGAGCCGCTGGTTCGTGGTTACACTACAGGGTCAGCGTGTCATGTGTTTATCTCACAGCTCAAGTACCTGTTTGGAGTCACACCATATCGATTCTCAGGTCCTCTCTCCCTTATCTATGTGAGTATGTCAGGTACAATGAAACTATCACATTTTATGCTAGATACTGGCCCAGACAGCATACGGATATGAGCCACTTCAGACACCTCTGGCCTTCTTGTGGCCTGGACAAAATGGATCTGAGCCTAAAGTTGCCCACTTTTTTTGGCAAACATGCAGTGATCTTGGCAAGGTGTAATCTGGATGTGAACCTCAAGTGACTCATGTGGTAAAAGGTAAACATGGCCCAAATATCAATAAACAAATTCAGGCCATGGCTTTGGAACTACTGCATAAACCTGACCTCAGAGTTGTTTTTGTTATTGTCTTGTGTGACCAGAGTGAGGACAGAGGACAGAGCAAGATTTAAACACCATTCACCTTCTGTCACTTCTACTTAATAGGTTCATTAATTTGTTTTCAATCCTTCTCCCTCTCCTCCACTCTCTTCCTCATAGACTCTGGTGGATATTTTCCGACTGCTGCCTCAGACCCAGGTGCCGGAGCTGGTGGTCAGCCTGGTTTCGCTCACATTTCTTATTGTGGCCAAAGAAATCAATGACTGTTACAAACAGAAGCTGCCTCTGCCGATCCCTGTGGAACTGATAGTTGTGAGTCTGTCTGTTCCTCCAGTCACTCATACAGCAGGTGCATTGCTCTCATCGTCCAGCAGGGGGCAGCTTGACCACAGTTGACCTTGTTCTACACATGTGCATGTGCTCAGTGAGGATTTACTCCACATGTTAAAGCGGTATTGAATTTATCTTTTCTTAACAGATCATAACAGCAACAGTCATCAGCCACTTCTGTGGACTTCAGAGAAAATACAACCTCGATGTTGTTGGGGAGATTCCCAGTGGGTGAGCTCATGTGTGTGTGTCTGAAATGAGTTTGTGAGGACAAAACAGAAAGAGGAAGTGAAGGTAGGGGTGAGACTAAGGACAGCTGCTTGAACAAGACTGTTTACAAGACAGAAAAGCACCAGATTTTCTGATTGACTGATATGTAGAGTTGTTTATAAGACAAACAGGGTCACAGATTGTGGATTCCTGGTGGAATAGTCCATCATTAGTGAGCTCAGTGAGATTGCTTTTATTGTCATATTCATGGAATTGTACTTTGAAACAAATATTACAAATGTTTCTAAATGACATGATAAAATTTGCAAGCTTCAGCTTGTGCATGTAACAAAAACAAGAAGCTACAACCTGCGCGAAGTGCAAAACCAATAGTCAGCAAAAGGTCACGCATGAATGTTGCTACAGTTTCAAGAAAACTGTTAAATCTATTTAAATGTCAAGATGTTGGAGCAGCCTCAGGGAAAATGTGACACATCCCAATGATCTGATTGAACACTACACTGATACAAACTCCAACCATTCACCTTTTCCTCCTGCTCCAGACTCAAGGCCCCTCAAGTTCCAGATACCTCTTTTTTCTCAGAGATGATAGGGGATGCCTTCACTGTGGCCATTGTGGGCTACGCCATCAACATTTCCCTCGGCAAAACGTTTGGCCTCAAACACGGCTATAAGGTGGACAGCAACCAGGTGAGGCATAAAACACACTGGGTACGCTGTAGTTCTCACAAGTAGCTGTGAGAGTCGGTGTTCCTGTTCCTGTCTGACTCTCTGCTGACAGTCTCCCGTCAATTGAATATTAGAATTAACTCCATGCTGTCCCTATGCATCATGCTATCCTGGCTCAACAGCACACACACAGTTAGTTAAAGATATAATGCTTAACAATTCTTCATGAAAATGAAAAATTAAGAAATAGACCTATGTTATATATTTTGTTTACTTGTGCACTTATTATTTAATCATTTATGATTAATGATAGGAATTATGTCAATTATATGGTGGCACATATATGCATTAGTAATAAAATGCAATAACGTTTGCAACTAATAAAAGTAGAAGCACAATCTACCAATCATTTGTCCTCATATGTATCAATGACATCCTGATGATGTCATTATGAAATGGCATTATTACAACAAAACGAGTTAGCATTGCCGGATTTAGGTTCATAGAGTGCATGCATGCACCAATGCTTTTCATTTACAAAGTTTGTGTCATCCAATACAGCAGAATAGCCATGGATATTGTGGGAACTGTTGGGTTTCTCTATATAAATACAATTTTAAGGACTTGACCTTCTATGTCAAATGCCTTGAGATAATGTATATTATGATTTAGCGCTATACAAATAAAATTGAATTGAATTGAATTGAATTGAATTGAAATCCACTTGGAGTTACCTGGCATGCATCTGACATATGTAAACCTGTCTGTATGAGACACATACATGTTTGTAGGAATTGGATCGTGGACATCCCCCTCAGTCATTTTCAGTTCTCTCTTAATGACTATTTATTCTTTAAAACACAACCTGCTTCCTATTTGCTTGCACTGCAGGCCATGCCTTCATGTCATTGAATGATTAATGTTCCCCTAAAAATACATACACAGAGCAGGAAAACTTTTTTCCATCCCTTTAGCTCTTATTATTGTCTGCAACACATAGACTTACAGTACACACACACACTTGCAGAGGCATGTGACTGGGATCATTGTGCTTCGAAGAGAGAGATGGGTTGGGAGCACTCAAGGTCTCTAAGAGCCTGCCTGCTGAATCATTAATACCCAACAAGCTTTGTGCAATGAAGTGTCTCTTAAATATGCACAGCATTGCTCTCAGGGTGTCAGTCATGTGTTGAGAATTGCCATAAAAGAACAGTAGATTAAAGTTATTGACCCACAGGTCACAGACTCCAGACACTAAAGGTCTTGATATTAATAGCAGCAAATGTCAGGATTAATATAATCTGTTATTCAGCGTATTAAACGTGCATGTTACTGCTTCAAACTGTACCTGTCTCTGTTTCTTTTCATTTCCAGGAGCTGGTTGCTCTGGGTCTTAGTAACACTATTGGCAGCTTCTTTCAGTGTTACTCTGTGACCTGCTCGCTGTCTCGCAGCCTCATCCAGGAGAGCACAGGGGGCAAGACACAAGTAAACATGCGTACACAAACGTGGACAGAAAGCACACTACACCTATGATCAACCGTGGAACACTGACTGTGTGTGTATGTGTGTGTTTGTGTGTTTTGTCAGGTTGCGGGAGTGATTTCATCCATCATTGTGCTGATCACAGTTTTGAAAATTGGTCCTCTCTTTGAAGATCTCCCAAAGGTAACACTGTCCTCTCTGCACCATTTCTTGCTAATGATCGTCAACTCTCCTGGCATACAATTTAATATAATACTGTTTGTGTGTGTGTGTGTTCCTCAGGCTATTTTAGCCACAATAGTGTTTGTGAATTTGAAAGGGATGTTTAAGCAGTTCCTCGATGTGCCGATGCTGTGGAGGACCAACAAGGTTGATCTGGTACGACTTAATCCTGCCCAGTAAAAAACTGTGTGAATGTTACTGCGTCACTGACCCCATTGACTCTCAGTGTTTATACTGCCCTCTAGCTGGTGTGGCTGGTAACATTAATAAGCACCATCCTGCTCAACCTGGACCTGGGTCTGGCTGTCTCCATTGGCTTTACCATGCTAACTTTCATCTTCAGAACACAACGGTAACTACGCACCACTGATTATTTATTATTGACGTACATGCACCCATACTGAGAGAATCCTGCTGTGATTTTTCTTTGAGCTTAAGGGGAGTGGTTTCTCTAATTTTGCCACTTCAATACCCTTCAGACCCCATTACTCCATCTTGGGCCACGTGCCAGGCACCGACTTGTATCTAGACACAGACGCCTATGAGAGGGTAAGAGTCTTTCAGTGCTAAGTACCAGGTCACTAAATTACAACAGTCATATACTATTATTTGTCTCATGTGTTCTGTAGCCATTACATGTAGCTTTTGTTTTATTCATTTATTTATTCTTATCTTTTTTTTCCTGTCCCTTGAAATGGTGCATGCATTTCTGGCAGTGCCCTCATTAATATTCTACCGAGTTCTCTGGCAGGTTCAGTTCTCCTCAGTAGAAAGTAATTTGATATATTGGCCTTGCTCATAGCATTATTCTAAGAATGTCAGCTTTGTGCTCATCTGTACTCTGTGTTTGGTGCCAGTTGGCAAATGTTACCACCATAGACTTTGTATAAAGCTGGACAACACATCTCCCCTTCCACCCACTATTCTGAAATGCTACCTTGTCTGTAGACTCTTAGTGTGGTTCAGAAGTGGTTTTCCGGATGCTAACATCCAATGGTATTTCAGTAATTAGGTAAACAAAAGCAAAAACATCAGCAATGCTGGATACTAACGATGAAAATATTTGTCTGGAATTTGGTTGAACTGACCCTTTTGGAGGAGCACTGTTGATAGTTAGATCACCAGTGGTAGTAAAGCTTCATTTAGACAAACAACACCTGGCGGAGGTAGAAAGTGCAGATGAGAGCAGAACCAGGTGTGATGTTCTGAACTATTCTACCTCATGATGTCTCCCCGCAGACTGAAGAGATTCCAGGCATAAAAATCTTCCGTTCATCTACAACTATCTGCTACACAAATGCTGAGATGTACTTGGATGCCCTGCAAGAGAAGGTTTGTGTGTGATGCTCCATGAATGTTGGGATATGTTTGTGTGCTGCCGTGCATTTGATTACAAGATGTAAATCCTTGTCTGCCATCTACGGCACCTTTAATTGCTTTCATTATCTCACACACTCATCTCACCCTCTCTTTTCTCTCTTTAATGTGGTGCTCTGGCTTTTTGTGCAGAGTGGAATTGAAATCAGTAAGCTGCTGACGGCGAAGAAGAAACGAGACGCGGAGCTGAAGCCTAAACAGGAGAAAGAGAAAGCGAAAACAGAGGAAAAGACACAAGTATAATACAAATAACATATTCACCTTCATTCATCTGAAATGAAAGCAATAGCTTATAAAATTCAGCTGATATGTTCCCTAATGGTTGTCTCTTCTTCTTCAACCTAGTGGCAGCATGATGCGGTCAGAGACATGTCCATTCCTGCTCTCCCTTTGACAGAGTTGACTGAGGCCAAAGTCTCTGCAAGACTAAGTCAGGGGAACGGTGCAGCCGTAACCTCTACAAATGGCCTTGGTAAAGGACAAGTAAACCAGGCTTACCAACATGACTCTATCATGCTGGACTCAAATTTAGACACGGGTTGCCACGGTGACAAAAACATCAACCAGGAATCGCACGATGGTGATGAGGAGAAGGAGGGGCCCTGCGGATCAGACATCCACAGCATCATCTTGGACATATCGACAACCGGCTTTGTGGACACAGTCACTACGAATACATTGAAAAATGTATGTGTTGTCGGTGGTGACATGATCTGATATTTTGGACTGAGCGTGCACAGGTTCAACTTTATTTTTCAAAGATTGAAGACAAACAAAGTAATTATCTTTTTCTCCCAGATTTTCAGGGACTTCGGGGGCATTGATATAAACATTTATCTCGCGGGTTGCCAAGGTGAGTGGCACACCAGACAAAACAGAGACACATTTAATGACCCTAATGCAGAGTCAAATCACTGGCGCTCAAGGTCTCAGCCTATGTGGCGCCACATTGTTCCTTCTCTGACATGTCAGTCAAAGATAAATATTTATTTCTACAATCATGAAAATGCTTTCCCTCTCATGGTCTCTCACTGCCATGCCTGCTTTTCTCTCTGTTTAGCCTGTGTTGTGGAGCAGCTGGACACTGCAGGTTTCTTCTCAGAGTCCATCCCGAAGAGCAGGTTGTTTGTCACAGTTCATGATGCCGTGCTTCACATTCTGAAGAAACTGGGGCTGAGGGACTTTATACTTGTATGTTTATCACCGTGAAAGTTCATTAACACTTCTTAGATCGTCACTCAATTATCATTGCTCGCTCATATTCTGAAATTTCCCCTCTTCCTAGCCTTGAATCTTCTTTTTTTTTCCAGGACGTTCCCTGCAGCACCCAGATGTAACCAACAGGGGTCAGATTGTTCCAACTCTCGCCATCCTCCCCCTCCTCAATGGTCCACTCCTCACAATTGGTCGTCACTGTCTCCTCCCCCTTCAGCGGGGGAGAATGCACCACCTTGACATGGCGGCTGGTTGCCATGGAAATCCAGGGAGCCGTTTCTGTGGCAACGGGCTTTTTATGATATCGCCTAATGAGATAGCCAGCAATACGTCATTGCAGCTCTCTCTCTCTACCTCTCTCTCTCTGTGGTTTGTGCATGAGCCCCAGAGGAGGGGCGGGGGATGAGTGGGAGAATGTAACAGACGAATAGGAGTCTGTATTTATAGACTGTGTGAGAGAGTGAGTAAAAGGTTCACTGTGGGGGGGGGACTCATATTTGAGAGGTGTTGTTGTGAACAGACGCACCATGATCTGTGTGCATGTGTCAGTCTGTCAGTCCGCTGTGTGGGTTTCTGGAATCTATGCAGTTGGCCCTTGTGTTCTGTTTGTTAGGTAAACACACGTCTTCTAACATAAATCAATAGAATGTAAATATTTGTCATTTATAAGACTATGCCCTCTGGGACAAGGAGGGGGGGGTTAATCCTGTTATTACCACCTATTCGCTCCAAACGGCTGCAAGAAAGAGCTGAACTGCAGACACTGTGTAATAAGTGTCAACAGCGTGGGTGTATTTACAGTCAGTAATCACACGTCTGATTCTTCTGATATCTTAAGCTTCCTTCTATTTTTGGTATCTGGTCTTGTCTCATCAACTATCATAACTGTCTTGCTTTTGCTGAACAGTGTATTGTAATAGACGGTACACAGTACAAGTTCATATGTTTTTAAATGATATGGATGTCCCATCCAAGTATATCTGCATCAAGCCTTAAAAAGTTTTGTTATTATTTTGACTTTTGGGAAATGCATTCAGGTGCTTTCGTGGGCAATTCTGTAAATCTGAAAAATGTGCGTTGTTGTAATGTGTCTCACCACCAGGAATAAATTGTCTACCTGCAGAAAATGCGTCTACAGTATGTGTGACAGACATCCTACTCCAATGTAAACAAGTGCTACAACAGAAACACATTTCCTTGTGCCTATTGCTCATAGACTGATAACACTTCTAGTGTCACGCTTTATGAATATTTATCTGTCAAATGTCTCTTGGAATTTATTTTTATACTGGTGTAACATATTTAATGTGAATTCTGCACATATCCACGTTTGTTTTGTGTAAATAAAGATTCACAAAAACACAGAGCGTCCATCTTAATCTGGTCATTTATTGCTTCTTTCCTTTCACCAAGTCTCTTCCCCCTCCCCACATCCCCGTCTCCTGCTCTTCGCACACTTTCTCTCCATCTCTTCTGATGGAAATATTGATCGTCATCCCCTCCAAATATTGTTAACACTGATTCACAGACCCTACAATACACTGGATAAGTTAGTTCATAACACACAGCTGGAAGTGGTGATGCATTTTCTCTTTTTGATTGTTTTTTTGTTTCTTACAAATGGAAGCTGTTCATGAAGAGAGTACACTTGGCAGGAAACAATGATGGGCAAACACAACGCTACATGTAAATGAAGACACCACTGCCACAGTCCAACACACACTCCTTCTTACTCACTTACACACACACACACATTCAGACCATGGCATATCAGCAGCGAACGTGACGTCTTTCATTTTCGAAAGTTTCACAAGGTTTTTTTAAGTTTTTGCTCACTCACAATAAAATGACATGACATGTTACGAGGCTGTTGAACTTAAACACAGTGGCGCAGTGAGGGAAGATATCGCAACTACACTGGACATATCGCACTCACAAAACAAGACGGGACGGGACAGCACAAAGGCAGGGGACAGAAAGAGAGGGGAGAATCAGCGAGGTAGAGTCAGAAAGCAGAGCAGACGGAACATCAGCCTGTGATGACTGTATACGTGCGGTTGTGTTTCAGTTCTTCTCCCATCTTATCTTTGGTCCAATTGTCCAGGGCTTTTATATACCTTAAAAACTGTGGGGTGCGTGATTAATCTGCACTTTGCTCTGACTGGGCCAGTGTGGTGTGCATGCGTGTTGAGTCATCTGTATGTTTGTTTCTGTGGGTGCTGATGTCAAGGGCGACCTTGGATCTGTGTTCTGTAGGGCTCAGCTCATCAGATGACACTCTCAAAGAGAAGCTGATTCTTGGTTCCAGCAGGGGGCAGCAGTTTGGCCTCGCTCTCTGGGGCCAGATACTCCAGGTGATGTCTCCCCCAAACTGGGGTGGTAAGGTGCTGCCACCTCTGCACAGAAAAATACAAAGACACGATGAGTTGGCTCCGTGGACTGATGCTGGAGCACTGATATTTAGATACGCTTCTTAATTCACGCACAAGAGAATGTGCACAATCATCCGTGTTTGCACCCTGGCCTACTGACCTCCCGAAAAGATCCTTTGCAGCGAAGCAGTTTGTAGAGAACAGTGACAGGGATACAGAGCATTGAGGACAGAGCCAATAGCCAGCCAAGTGCTTCACCCCACAAGGGGTATGTATACACTGTGTTGTAGGTCAGGGGCTTGTAGTTCACCACATGGAACAGGAACACACCCTGTATGCACACAAAACTGTCAGCGGTTTGCAAGTGCCACGTAGAACGAATAGAAAATCACACACAACAACACTTACCACACAAACAATAGGCGTGATGTAGGACCAGCACCACTTCATGTAGGGTAGCGGCTGGTAGCCTATCATACGAGCCACGTCGTCCATGAAACGGTCCGCGCCTGACAACGATGACATAAAGTGAGATAATGCATTAGATTGTGTTGTTTGTGCTGTTTGTATTACAGTTGTGCAGCATTGTCTCACCATAGACCCATGCAATCACCACACACTCCCAGAAGGCCTGCCACAGCAGAGTGATGCCGCTGGCAGAGTAGTAGTCAAACAGCTGGAAGACATACATCCCTCCCTGACAGAAACAGAGAAAGCAGTGAGGATCCAGTCTATCCTGCTAATTCTTTATGTATGACCTGACTGCAGCCCTGTCTCCACTGTTCAGGCTTTCATCCCATTTCAGTCCTGGCAATGGTTTCCTAAGCCCATGAAATTTTGGTACGGATCCAGGAATTCTTTTTTATTCACTTTCTTTAACATTGCAACGTTTTTAACAATTTCCAAAGGGACAACACATAGATGTACTGTAGATGAAAAAATAGGGATATTTGGAGGACTTATATCTATGAATGTGTAAACTTTGGTGCAGCTAAATTGAATTTAAAGGGACTGTTGGGCCTTGGTCAAAGTGTGCAAACTTATCTGAACCTTATCTTTGCTGTATTTCTATGGTACAAAACAATTTGTTTAATGTTCAACCATTGAGTACCAGCAAACTGAGATAATTCATAGGCTAGACAGGTATGGCTACAATAAAAAAAAGTCTACGTGTGGCAAACAGTATCATTACAATCCAACAATAAAGGCCACCCAAAAATGTGAAGTTGGACCATAAAGGGAGATGATGCCCAGTGATACCGTGACGAGATCCTTGTGCCCATGTGATCCGGTTTATCCGGCGCCATGGACTGACATTCCAACATGACAATGCACGTCCTCATGTAGCACAGATTTGTCGTGCCCTGTCGGACGCTGAGACGTCCCAGTCCTGCCTTGGCCTGCATACTCGCCAGACAGGTCACCCATTGAGCATCTCTGGGATGCTCTGGATCGGCCACAGCCAGAAAACATCCGACAACTCCGCCAAGCCCTTGTGGAGGAGTGGAACAACATTCCACAGGCTAGTATTGACTCTGCTGTGATGAAGGTGTGTAGCACTATATGTGATGAAAACTGGGGGGACATACCCAGTACTGAAAAACTTTAACTAGCCTTCAGCTACGTTGTTTATTTGGCAGTTTAACAGTTCAGCTTTGAATTGACTCAACAGATGTACATTGCCATAATAGAATAGAATTTGAAATCCAATGTGTATGTCAATAAAGGCTGCATTCCTACTAAGTATTTTATAGAATCATCAAAATAATCTTCTGACCCAAGTTTTTGAATGGCATTGAATTCAGTCTGGAAGTTATTTTGTGCATCCCACTTAAATCCTGACAAACAACAGAATGAGGTCTTAAACTCCACACTATACCTCTGTGACCATAGACATGTCGATGAGAAAGCAGATGAAGCAGCAGATGGCCGCCACCACCTCTCGGCGCAGAGAGCCCAGGACAGATTTAGGAGGCAGCATGTCCATGATTCCTGTTATCAAACCTTCTACCCCGACAAACTGAAAAAGAAAGTGAGAGGATAAAAAGAGAGAAAGAATGAGGAGAATGGTGAATGACAGACCTAGAGATTAAGATTCAAGTCAGTGAGATGCTTCTGAGTCTGTGAATATGCTTGGATGTTGTGCACAGATGTCTGCATTGTAACCGGCAATTCAATGTACTTGGAAATGCAATGCAATGTACTTGGAAATAACATACTGCTGAGTCAACCCCATGACTACCCGCTAATGTTCCCTTTCAACCAACAAATGTCCTGTGTGTCAGATGCACCTGACATGTAACTGAGAGGTGAGCATGTCCGCTCACACTCCCTTCCTCAGTCTAGAAATGCAAGAATGTGTATGTGTATCTTTGCAGAGAAATTTTTCAACCTGCAGTCTGAGTTCAACTGTGGAGCTATTTTTACATCATTTAGTAGAAATGGCAGTACATGCAGTGTGGCTATGGCAGGAAAAGGAGAAAAAATTAATGCAGAAGAAATGGGGAAGTGAGAGTAACTGAAAAGGATTGGAGAGTAGACAGACGCTCTCTGTGTGAATCAGACAGAAGCTCATTGACAAATCCCTGGGCTGTAAAACAATGGATGTAGGCACTGGCTCAAACAGACACACAACAAACAGGCTGCTAAGAAATGCAATGCTAAAGCTGGACGCGGTGTGCCTGGACTGTCTGTGTGAGATGAAGTGATAGAGACACAGAAATGGAGGCAATGTTAATAAGTGCTGCAGAATCGAAAACAGCAAAATACAGAAGCAGGTAATACCTTGCATTAGCATACAGTGTCCTATAAGACGAAGCTAAGGTGGATATAAACAAACTTAGATGTGTCCATACCTGGCTGTCCAAGCCCAGTATGAGCAACATGAAGAAGAAAAGTGCTGCCCAGAGCGGCGCCAGAGGCATCAGAGTCACAGCCTTGGGGTAGGCAATAAAGGCCAGGCCTGGACCTGCACATTAAGAAGCAGAGTCAGAGGCATAAAGTACAGGGCATGGCTTCTCAAAGTCCAGACCTCGGCCCACATCCAAACTGGAGAGCAAGTCAATCTGCACCCAGAGTTTATCTACAACACATTATGAGGTGTAATGTTTCGATTTTGGAATACATTTCTATCAGTAAAAAAATGTAATATGCAGCGTAGCTGGAGATTATTCACATTGATCGTGTCCCCTGCTGAAGATGCTTTTACTCTGGCTTATTGCCATATCGTTGACAGCGTTGTCTTAGTGATGCTAACTACGAGAGTGTTGTGAGAAGTCGTCGCAGGTACAAAATGTGTCTGAACTAACTGTCTGAGCCGTGTCTGCATCAGTTGTGTGCTGACCACATCATAAGACAAGTGACTTTTGTGATGTAATCACAAATGAAAGTTCAGGGGTCACATGGGGCTTGTTTAAAAGCAACTCTGGCTGGTGGATATCAGAAGATATTAGTGTAAGCCTGCATTCTCCACAGTTAATGTGGTGAAAAGCTCAAATTGCAGCAGCTTGACCAATGAACATTTGGATCAGTCTCCATCTGGCAATCACATCTACTGTGCCTCGGTTCAAAGGTATTTTGACCATTTTTAATGCCATGAATTTAAATGCTATAAGTAAGTTTATCAAATGTTATTTTGTAATCAGCAATAATTTCAGACTTCTAACCATAAATACAAATCAGAGGTGGACCTTTGCGTAACCCCTGATTTAGCTCTCAGTGTCAGCACATTGCTCATTACAGTGGGATTAAGGTGGCTACATAGTGGGGATGCTGTATCCTTACCACTCTCTGCTACCTTACTGATGTCCACGCCTTGCTCTTCAGCCATGAAGCCAAGCACAGAGAACACCACAAAGCCTGCAAAGAAACTGGTTCCGCTGTTAATGAAGGCCAGGACGAATGCATCCCTGCAATAAGAAAGAGGAAAAGAGAGAAAGAGAGAGGGGGTAAAAACAGAAGAGCAAGAATGTGAAAAATATGCAGTATAATAAATATCCTGTAACATGAGGCTCAAATGGGATGCTGTGTTTGCAAATCAGGGATCAATAGCAATTTCTCTGAAAGCTTCTGTTGTCTTTGTAGTTGGCAGGAGGAGAAGAAATAAACCAATGGTAAGTCTGTTCCAAGGTCTGAGAGGGGAAAGAGTTAAATGATACCCCCGACTGACTAATTCCTACTGTCAGCTGTATATATAGAGTATTAACTGTATCTAATATTATAATAATGCATGCATTTATAAATAAATTATGTTGGAGATTTCATTCCCATTCAAATATAAAGTCATTTATATTCCATTCCAGTTTTATGGTGAACAGTGAGTGACCTTCAGTTTACTCTGATAAGTCAAGTCGAGTTAACAACACCAGCCAAGAATCCTCTCTGTATAAACAACAGTTGCTCCACAGTGGTTATTATAACAGCAGCTGCCTTCAGCAGCGGCCACCACTCCGTCAGCCGTCAACAAGCTCAATCAATCTGAAGAAATGCTCAGAGGAATGCTTATGGATTTGCATAATTACAACAAGTCAGAGTGGGAAAGTCGACCGCATCAAGACCACAATTGTTAAATAAGACTGCAAGTCTATAGCTGCACTAGTGGCCCTGTGAGTCTGTAATGGTCATTACATACAAGGAAATAAACAGGGCTGAGAGGAGACAAGTTTACCTCGAGGGGTGTAAAATGTTGGATTTGGCATTGGGGCAGTAGAGATTTAACTATTAACAAATAAAACCATGTTTATCCAAGACAAGGCTCCGCATTTATTAGTGTGTACTCAAGACTAAAGTGTGGTTTAGCCCACCTGTGCTTTGAGCTGAATGCTAACATTATTATACAAAAATTAGCGGAACCCTCAAGAGTCCTGGTCTATTTTGGCCATTTATTTACGTGTGTGATTTTGCCTTAATATACCAACTTAAAAATGTTTACTGTGTCACTGTTTGGTATATTTTCAGCACAACAGTGCTTATACAGACATACATACATAGTAAATCAACATATCAGACACAAAAACACACAGGACACAAGAGTGAAATCAATTCTTTTCATAAAAACCACAAATATGCTGCACACAGCATTTTCAAAAATGAAAATGTAAATACTGATTGCAAATGTGAAGTTTTCGTTGCATCTGTGCTAACCTTTAGCATTTTCTAAGTCTATATCAACTAAATATTAGCTTATGTTAGCACATTAGCATGCTATGTCAATAGCTATAATTTCTACCATCAGTTTTTAAAGTTGAAAATGTAAATATGAAGATATATTAGATGATATACATTGTATCTATTGGATATGGATGTGCTCACTTTAGCATGTAACATTTTGGAACATTTTAAATTGAGTACATGAGGCCTTGCTAAATATTAGCTAATGTTATCACTTTTGCATGGTATTTTTAGCAAATGTTTTTGTCATGACAATCAATTCAAAGGATAAAGACTAAGATTAACCCTAACCCTAGACCAAAGACTTGGACAGACTGACACATTGACTGACACATTGACTGACACATTGACTGACACATTGACTGACACATTGACTGACACATTGACTGACACATTGACTGACACATTGACTGACACATTGACTGACACATTGACTGACACTGTTTTCCCTAAAGCTACAGCACAAGATCAGATATAAAAGACACCAGTTAGATTAAGATAAGTGGTTTAAAAACAAGTGAATGAGAGCCCAAAACTGGCTCCTGAGTCCTAAATACATTGGCATCACAGTGCAGTTTATATATACTTCTCCCAAGATATTCTGGGCTACTTAAAGTGTGTGTGAGAAACAGAGCTGAGTGAACATACCTCAGGATCTGTACACATCTTTTAACTTCCAATTAAGGTCAAGGCAGAGAAAATACCAGATGGCAGGATATTTGTGAGGCTCCTCCTATTACGGGCATTCCAAATATCCACACAGCGAGTGATAAGATTATCTATCCCTACTACTGCTGTGGTGCTACCGGTCTCTTCATATATTCAAATATCTGCTAAGAGTAAATACTTTTAGGCTCATCGAGCTGCCAGCGAAACAGAACTAGCGAGGTCACCTGTAGTTTGAACAAGACGCGACACTCCCGTCTTCATTAAGGGCCGGCTAGACCTTCTATTGTATCAGTTCATATGTATAATAAAATAAAATAGAGCTCCTCCTGGAAACCAAATCACTTCTATTTTTATCACGGAGGAAATTACTTTACATCTGACATGTGAGTAGTGGGCCAGGAAGTCTGTGGGCCTTCAGGCATAACTCCTTACACTCATACAGTGTATCCATCAAGTGTGAGTAGTGAAAAAAAGAGCAATTATGAATGGTATTTTTTTGGTATGTTTTAGACTAATCGGGTCAACGCTCACATTCAGCAGTACACAGTGTCTGGCTGATGTTTGTGTTGACGTTGGCCTCCTTCCAGTGACAGTGTCATCTGGTTCTATGTTGTGTATTGACTCACTGGTAACAGTTGTTATGGAAGCGGTTGTAGCTGCCCAGTGCAGTCAGGGCACCCAGTCCGATGGCATAGGAGAAGAAAATTTGAGTGCCGGCATCAATCCACACCTATCATGTAAGGGAACTGTGTGAGTAATATTTCACACTCTTTCTTTTCACTGCAATGCTGCAGACAAACAGTATGTGTGAGGATATTCAAATGCAAGCATATGCAAAGGTTATACCTGTGCTTCTCCAAGTTTGGACCAGTCTGGTTTCAGGTAGTAAACAATCCCATTTATAGCTCCAGGTAAAGTGACTCCGTGGGCCAGAAGAACAACCAGAACCAGGTATGGGAACAGAGCAGTGAAGTACACAACCTGCAGAAAGATGGAAAAAAGGGAGATGTGAAGTATATTTCTAGATATCCTAGCACCAATTTGTAGAATATACTTGGAGGTGGGGAGGTGAGGTTTGAATGCTATGCATTAACTTGTAGTAAATAAAAGTAGAAAACTCCACAGTTAACATTAAACTCCTCATACTACATGAGGTGAGTACATAAAAATATGTGGTTATATGATGAATTTAACAAGCTAGTTCAGTGCTTATTAACATGGTCCATCAGCTATGGTCAAAAGTTTCAATGCAACTGCTGTTTTTATCACTTGGATTAAGCATTTACCTGCTTTGCAAATACTCAAGTCTTAAGTAGAAGCCCATTAGGTCCTTCCTGTAGTAGATGTGTAATGGGCCCTGTCATGTTACTTTGAAGAAAAGGTAGCCTGTAAATGGAAAGCCAGACAATTTGTAAACCTCCTGCAATAGCAGGGGTTTTTGGCAGACCTTTTCAGAAAGTAGTCTTTGTCAAGTTATGCCCCCATGCTACCTTGAAGAAGCAAGTCTCAGCTAAATCAGTGTGGTAAGAGCAAAGTAATGAGAAAGCACATATTTGCCTTGATCTAGGGTGAACATGGTCAGCTCTAAAACATCTACATCGTGGAAAGTTACTAATCGGCTTACAGCTGGCTGGCTCAATCTCCTTCATTGTTTTCCCCCTCGCTCTACGAGCTGCAGCTACTCTGGAGACACAAGTATGCAAACACAGACAGCTCCATATGCTACAAAATATGGTTGCATTCGTTTTCGTCAATGTTTCAGTGCACACACATTAAAACAAAATGAGAAGTGGACATCTTTTTTAAATGGAACAATGCGTATGGAGCATTTAACATAATAGGGATGTTGGGATCAGAAGATTGTAACCTGACTAAAACATTAAGCTGCACATATATGTATACACACATAAATATAAGCACGTATATAATATAAAAATATATATTAAACTGTACATATAAATAACTATGCAAATTAGCAGACATTGAGAGAATACACATGTGCCTTTATATCTGTGTTTATGTTTTTCAGTCTAGACACTAAAGCTGATTTGGGGTCACAGGGCAAAATGCTGTAATTATTTAAATCTTTCACACAAAGCCATGCAAATAACACTCTGCACTCCATGAACCCTGATGGTGACAAGTAACATTTTATGCACAGTGTAGTATATGAAGCCATAAATATTAATATACACTCACTAAGCTCAGCTCACTGGCATGTAACATTAAGCACCATGAATTGCACAGCCAGAAAACACTTTACCTTGCCAGTAGATTTAACACCTTTCCACATGCAGAAGTAAACGATGATCCAGGTGACTATGAGACAGAGCACCATCTCATAGCTGATGTCACCGGGCTCGTGCAGCCCACCAGACAGACGCAGCACTTTACGCCTGGGAGAGAGAACACAGAGACGTGCCCGTTAGAACAGTCAATGGTTTCCAAACACACCAATGGGACATTTGAAGATCTAGTGGATCACTTCATGCAGGAGTCTGCAGGTCGAACTACAACTTGAATACGGGGTAAATAAGAATTTGCTAGGGCTTGGACTGTAAATGCCCTAAAAGTTAATTATATAATCAAATCTGTTCATGTTTATGATCATAATAAAGGTCTGCATGACAAAGTGCGGTGGCTGGATACAAAGTGCACAAACGTAGGTCAACTTAGCGGTGTATTCAAATCTTTTTGGCTTTGGATTTGGTTCTAGTCCTCCATGACAACTCCCAGTCAAATTACGACATACTCCCAGAACTCGATGACAGGGGAGCGCATGCCCTCGGACTCCACGCAGCTGCCGTTGAGAAGGAGCAGGGCTGAGGATAGGTTTAGCGGGGACGCAGAGGGGTCGAGGTTGGAGGGGGTGTCAGCAGATGAAGGCAGTGCGCTGCGGTTGTGGCAGGCACGCCGGAAGTCCTGTGTACAGTTGGGCGTGTTCCAGGGATGTCCACAGGTGGCCCAGGGCAGTGGGTTGGTGAAGGAGTGGAAGAGAAAGTAGAGGCCCCACACCAGAATCATGATGTAGTAGGTGTTACAGAAGAACACGATCACCATCGAGGCCAAGCCCAGACCTGGCAGAGAGGAGGGGAGGAAGGCACAGGATGAAGGGTTACAATTTGCAAATCAGAGGTGATAAACAGTATTAAAATAACTTGAACAGAGTTAGGTACCTTTGAAGAGGGGTGCAATGTTCCAGGCAGAGACCCCTCCTTGCTTCATGAACTGTCCCAGCGCGATCTCCAGGAAGAAGACCGGGATGCCCCCGATGAACACGATGAGCAAGTAGGGAATCAGAAAAACGCCTGCAACACACAACAAACACATTCATCATGAGGCACCTGAATTTACAGGCAGGGAGATACAGTGCATGGTGTCATTATCGCAAACAGCAAAGAATTCAGTAACTCTGGAAAAAGACTGTAACAAGTAAAAGCACGTGGCAAGGTTTGGATATTTTATAAGAAGCATATTACGACAGAATGTGTGGTTTATATTCCTTAATAACACAATAATTATTAATGGCATTATCATGGTAATAATCACATTAAATAAACTAATTCCCAATAACATAACAAAATATTAGACTATAGAGACTTTGTTGTCATTTACTATAAAAGGAACATTTGCCAACCAAGTGTGTTGACAAACAGAGAACATTTCATGGTCATACACTGAATTAAACCCCTAAACACACCATTGTAAAGTTTTTCATTTTGAATTACAAATATAACAATAAATAACATCAGTCTTCAGATGATATGTGCAATGATGTGAATGGAATGTGCTGCTGTGCCACAGACAGATAGGGTTAAAGGTCGTCAATGATTTTGTCAATTATCCTTTATTCTTAAAATATAGATTCTGTACAAAGTTAAAGGAGACAGACGGTGAGTGTCAGTGTTTTCTATAAATAATCTCCCTTTAGACTTGTGCCGTGGCAGCAGCTTGCTGTGATCAGGAATAGACGGCGAGAAAAAAAAAACCTACATTAAAAAGATGGCATGGCCCTTTTTAATTCACTAAACGATTTGGTTTGATTAATAATATAAGAGGGTGATGCCACCACAGTGCGCAGATGGAAGGGAGTCACATGACCAGGTGTGACGCAGAGCAGAGAGAGGCCGAGAAGAAAGGAGGGAAAGATAGATGGATCACAGGGAAGGGACACAAGATAAACTGGGACAATGCTGTGGCTGAGGAGCTTCAACTAATGCAAAAAAAATAAAGAAAAAAAGAACCACCACGCCATTGCCCTGGTTGTCTCCGCAACGGTACTACTGATTGACAGTTTGTGCCTCATTCAGTCCATCATCTTTATGTCATTCTGTGAGTGCAGAGGGCTGTAGCCTTATATGGAAACATTTGTGAACGGGAGTCTTACAGAGAAAAGGGGTGGGAGATCAAGAGAGAGACACAGAGAGGAAAGGAGAGAAAGAGAAAGGGATGCAATTGGAGGCGTGAATGGAATGACTAGAGAAAATGCTTGGGCTGACGTACCCTGGCATATTGGGCAAATCAGCGAGGAACTGCGTCCTTAATAGGCTTAAGTAAAGCCTCTCTAATCATGACTGGACCAGACACAGCAGGCCAAGAAGCCGAGTTACAAATAAATAAATAAATTAATAAATGAGATTTGCAGAGCATTAATTCCACATGTTTACAGTTCTATCTTCCATAGTCTCCACTGGAGTGTGTCCTTGATTCAGACGGCTCATCTACAAGCTGCAGACCTTATCTGACACACAGTAACAGTTATTGTGTGACAAACCCATATGGTTCCTTATCAGGAGCAAAGAGGGAGAGAGCACCTTTGTATTCTACGTGAGGTCTGGGCAGGAGCACAGGGGGGTGGACTGTGTGAGGCAGGCCATTGTTATACGATACCAGAAGGTGGGTATCAAAGCCATGGGTCACAAGACCCACACACACAAGAGAGGGAGGGCTGGACTATGAAACACACACACACACACACTGAGTTGTACCATTCAACTAAACACCTCATAAAAAAAGAGAAAGGTGGGTATAGGGCAGAGATAACACTAGTCAAGGCCAGAAGCTGCCGTCCAGGGAGGTTACCGTAAGACTAGCTGGCACAGATGTAGGGGAGTGGATACAGACCATAAAACAACTTGTGATCAGCAGACTGACCGAAGGGCAACTTGTACTAGGTCTGAATGTGAAGCAACGGTCAGCTATAACAAATAAAGTGTTGTTCCACCAACTGCCAGGAGAATCTGAGAGAAATAGCTGACTGTCAATAGTGAAATACCAGGATTTCAATTAGCTGAACCACTTTTTCCAATGAAGAATTTCTAGGATTTGTTTCTATTGTATTCTAACAGCAAGTTAATGGAAGCTCTTAACGTTGATCCTTTGGCCTATAGCCATGACGGCATCTACCAATATCTAGGAAAATGAGTCATCAAGTCTAGACACTATCTCTACTGCACTTTTCTATTCTCATCGACCACTCAAAGCACGTTACATTGTGAGTTAGATTCACATATGTTTCAATACACAGGTCTTTTCTATCACACACACATGCACACACACACACACACA